ACATGACTTGGAAAGGCACACACCTGTCTATATAAGGTCCCACAGTTGACAGTGCATGTCAGAGCAAGAATCAAGCCATGAGGTCGAAGGAATTGTATGTAGAGCTCCGAGACAGGATTGTGTCGTGGCACAGATCTGGGGAAGGGTACCAAAACATTTCTGTAGCATTGAAGGTCCCCAAGAACACAGTGGCCTCCATCATTCTTAAATGGAAGAAGTTTGGAACCACCAAGACTCTTCCTAAAGCTGTCCGCCCGGCCAAACTGAGCAATCGGGGGAGAAGGGTCTTGGTCAGAGAGGTGACCAAGAACCCGATGGTCACTTTGACAGAGCTCCAGAGTTCTTCTGTGGAGAAGGGAAAACCTTCCAGAAGGACAACCATCTCTGCAGCACTCCACCAATCAGGCCTTTATGGTAGAGTGGCCAGACGGAAGGCACTCCTCAGTAAAAGGCACATGACAGCCTGCTTGGAGTTTGCCAAAAGGCACCTAAAGGACTCTCAGACCATGAGAAACAAGATTCTCTGGTCTGATGAAACCGAGATCGAACTCTTTGACCTGAATGCCAAGCGTCACATCTGGAGGAAACCTAGCACCATCCCTACGGTGAAGCATGGTGGTGGCAGCATCATGCTGTGGGGATGTTTTTCAGTGGCAGGGACTGGGAGACTAGTCAGGATAGAGGGAAAGATGAACGGAGCAAAGTACAGAGAGATCCTTGATGAAAACCTGCTCCAGAGCGCTCAGGACCTCAGACTGGGGCGAAGGTTCACCTTCCAACAGGACAACGACCCTAAGCACACAGCCAAGACAACGCAGGAGTGGCTTCGGGACAAGTCTCTGAGTGTCCTTGAGTGGCCCAGCCAAAGTCCGGACCTGAACCTGATCGAACATCTCTGGAGAGACCTGAAAATAGCTGTGCAGCAACGCTCCCCATTCAACCTGACAGAGCTTGAGAGGATCTACAGAGAAGAATGGGAGAAACTCCCCAAATACAGGTGTGCCAAGCTTGTAGCGTCATACCCAAGAAGACTCAAAGCTGTAATCGCTGCCAAAGGTGCTTCAACAAAGTACTGAGTAAAGGGTCTGAATACTTATGTAAATGTGATATTTCAGTTTTTTTTTTTTTATAAATGTGCACAAATTTCTAAAAACCTGTTTTTGCTTTGTTATTATGGGGTATTGTATGTAGATTGATGAGGGGAAAAAACGATTTGATAAATTTTTGAATAAGTCTGTAACGTAACAAAATGTGGAAATAGTCAAGTGGTCTGAATACTTTCCGAATGCACTGTATATCTAAAACTGCCATAATCTAATGGACAGACTATGTAAACATAAATGGTACCATAGATCTTTCATAATAATATTAATAATAATAATATGCCATTTAGCAGACGCTTTTATCCAAAGCGACTTACAGTCATGCGTGCATACATTTTTACGTATGGGTGGTCCCGGGTATCGAACCCACTACCTTGGCGTTACAAGCGCCGTGCTCTACCAGCTGAGCTACAGAGGACCACATGATACAAGCGTATGCGTGAGATTGAGATAACGAGCAGCATTAGTTCCGGTGCTTTTGACAAATCATGATTTCGCAGGTGTTAGCATCTTTCGAATTTTGGAAGGGGAGGGGACATTTGGCCCATAGACTTGTCCGTAACTTGCAAAGAGAGAGGGTGGAGCTCTTCGTTCCGGTTCCGCTCCTCGTTCTATCTCTTCTCTTAACACGTATGGACCCAGAACTTAATTGAGCATCTGATCAATTACGCAAGACTTTAGTTCTGAGTTAACAGAGATTAAAGAAGCCATTATCCAGTTTTGCAATTAACCTTTCACCGGTCTGAGATCAGTGGGCAAGACCCACTTCTGCTGCTCTCAATGTCTCCAGTGGGCCGCATGCAAAACTTTCATGAACTTTAGTTTGTCATACTCTTCAGTCCTCACTTACACAGAACAACAGTTGTGCTGTAATAGTTCTTAATCTGAGAAAAGGAACATTTACATATAGTTAACAAAAAAAACTAATACCAGACCTCTACTAATACAGACTCTACCACAGCATTTTTAACCTCAAATATGAAAATTTTATACATACAGTGGGGAGAACAAGTATTTGATACACTGCCGATTTTGCAGGTTTTCCTATTTACAAAGCATGTAGAGGTCTGTAATAAAAAATAAATTTAAAAAAATACAGAACATCACATTGTATGATTTTTAAGTAATTAATTTGCATTTTATTGCATGAAATAAGTATTTGATACATCAGAAAAGCATAACTTAATATTTGGTACAGAAACCTTTGTTTGCAATTACAGAGATCATACGTTTCCTGTAGATATTGACCAGGTTTGCACACACTGCATCAGGGATTTTGGCCCACTCCTCCATACAGACCTTCTCCAAATCCTTCAGGTTTCGGGGCTGTCGCTGGGCAATACAGACTTTCAGCTCCCTCCAAAGACTTTCTATTGGGTTCAGGTCTGGAGACTGGCTAGGCCACTCCAGGACCTTGAGATGCTTCTTATGGAGCCACTCCTTACTTGCCCTGGCTGAGTGTTTCGGGTCGTTGTCATGCTGGAAGACCCAGCCACGACCCATCTTCAATGCTCTTACTGAGGGAAGGAGGTTGTTGGCCAAGATCTCGCGATACATGGCCCCATCCATCCTCCCCTCAATACGGTGCAGTCGTCCTGTCCCCTTTGCAGAAAACATCCCCAAAGAATGATGTTTCCACCTCCATGCTTCACGGTTGGGATGGTGTTCTTGGGGTTGTACTCATCCTTCTTCTTCCTCCAAACACGGCGAGTGGAGTTTAGACCAAAAAGCTCTATTTTTGTCTCATCAGACCACATGACCTTCTCCCATTCCTCCTCTGTATCATCCAGATGGTCATTGGCAAACTTCAGACGGGCCTGGACATGCGCTGGCTTGAGCAGGGGGACCTTGCGTGCGCTGCAGGATTTTAATCCATGACGGCGTAGTGTGTTACTAATGGTTTTCTTTGAGACTGTGGTCCCAACTCTCTTCAGGTCATTGACCAGGTCCTGCCGTGTAGTTCTGGGTTGATCCCTCACCTTCCTCATGATCATTGATGCCCCACGAGGTGAGATCTTGCATGGAGCCCCAGACCGAGGGTGATTGACCGTCATCTTGAACTTCTTCCATTTTCTAATAATTGCGCCAACAGTTGTTGCCTTCTCACCAAGCTACTTGCCTATTGTCCTGTAGCCCATCCCAGCCTTGTGCAGGTCTACAATTTTATCCCTGATGTCCTTACACAGCTCTCTGGTCTTGGCCATTGTGGAGAGGTTGGAGTCTGTTTGATTGAGTGTGTGGACAGGTGTCTTTTATACAGGTAACGAGTTCAAACAGGTGCAGTTAATACAGGTAATGAGTGGAGAACAGGAGGGCTTCTAACAGGTCTGTGAGAGCCGGAATTCTTACTGGTTGGTAGGTGATCAAATACTTATGTCATGCAATAAAATGCAAATTAATTACTTAAAAATCATACAATGTGATTTTCTGGATTTTTGTTTTAGATTCCGTCTCTCACAGTTGAAGTGTACCTATGATAAAAATTACAGACCTCTACATGCTTTGTAAGTAGGAAAACCTGCAAAATCGGCAGTGTATCAAATACTTGTTCTCCGCACTGTAGACATGTTATACATGTAAATCAGATATTTTATAATTATATATTTTACCCAGTAATATACCCATTTTGCCATCTTATCCCCTAACATTTCTTCCAATATTTGTTTTGCCCCCTTCTCTCAAAACTTTGTGAATTATCACCCAATTTAAGCCTTGTGTGTGTGTGTGTGCATGTGTGTGAGAGAGGCAGAATTGCAGTTACTCCATCTGTCCTTCAAGCTTTCCTGTGACTTTGACCTTTGGAATGTGTCAGAGGGTGAGAGTAAGGGGGAGGGGTGGTTGGATGTAGTGTGCAGAAACATGTGCTTGTATGGTAATGAGAAAAGGCTACTGCAATGAGCTAAATTGTGCCTGTGAGAAAGACAAAAACATGGTTTGGACCTCTGTCAGCAATTTATACCAAATAGTGTTGATGAAGAGAACGGGACACAGTGTATGATAGCCAGTCACTCAGTTATACAATACTATTTGGATTAGAGATAAGGAGTAGCTTAGTAGTTTTACAAGCTTTTCACAAATCTCTGTAACTCTCTCTCTCCAACACACACACACACACTTTCTTGGCTATACATTTCCATACCCTTATAAGCTTGAAACACCTAGACAGAGTGCTTCAAATACGATTGAACCCTCTATGACAAGGATGAATACTAGCATCTCCAGGTTTATATTGGATAAAGCAACCATTATGTTTAGTGTACAGTATGTGTGTGTGATGGAGTTAAGATTTGGAAAATATAAAGTCAGAATTGGGAGACCAAGATTTTATGTGTTATGTCCTTGTCCTGTGATACAATCTTCAGGACACGTAAATGATTTTGAACATGCACATAATAAGATATGGCGTGAGGAGAAATCAGTAAATGTTTTGTCTGCCCTCTTAGGTTTCCTAATAATTGGACTGTTCTACCCAGACTATAGCCACAATTCTAAACCAATAGAAAGTGAGTGGGGTTACCAGCAGAAGAGACCAATAAGGCTTTCCTGCAGCACAGCACACAGGTAATTGCTTTTTCTATGGCCTTTAATCAAATCTGAACCACCAATAATTATGGATGTAAAATAGCTAGTGATCTATATATTGCTGTTGTGAAGTTGTATGCTGAAACTATTTTGAATATATGGTCAAACTGATTAATTTTAAGCCTGTGGATAAACTTGATATACGTTTGAGTAGTTGAATCGTTTAACAGAACAGAAGGTAAAATGTTTTTATTTATGATATAGTTGCTTTTTACCCTGCCTTTTGTCATATGCAGCTAACTGTAGTAGCCACTAAGTTACCCCAGTACAGTGTCTGGGGCAGCGACAGTCACCCTTGTCTGTCATTGAAATATTATTAGCTACTTCCTATTATGCACCAGACCTCCCATCTCTCCAATCCTGTCTGAAAAGGAACATTTGAATTCGACACGTTTTAGAAGCGTTATAGCGCGTTACCTATCTACGTTGTGTAGCCTGTCAACACAAACTTCCGTGAAAATTTTGCCGAGGGCAACCAGATACTTGGGGAACTCAAGGTACCTTGAGGGAGTTAGCTAGCTAGTTTTGTAACTAGCTAGCTGACTAGAGGTAAGTTGATGTCACCTGATGAGGAAAGCCAGACTGATGGCATGCTAGCTAGCTACTGCCTAGAGCTTCAACTTGTGATTTAACTAACGTTAGCTACCTAGCTCTTAACTAAATGTACGTTTTCCATTCAGCTAAATAACTGAACAGCCACACAGATCTTAATAGTTAATATTTGCCAAAAGTCTAGTTGTCTGAGGAAGTACAAACGCCACACATGGAACTTCACTTGTTAACGGCTAACTGTGATAACTAGCTGTAACGTTAGCTAACTGTATAGCTAAATTCCTCATAAATTCTAACAACATAATAGGGATGTGGCATTCATTTTCTTATTATCCTCACTCTTTCCTTTACCTGCTCAACCTGCCTCTTTCACAATCTCACGAATGGCTTTGCCCGGCTTCAAGTACATTAAAATAGCTAGCAAATGCATAGCTGCTAACACCTTTAGCTTGCTACCAAGCTAACTCTCACATGCACATTTTTTGAATCGTCTCGAGTTTGGGTTCAGCTGGGGGGGGGTTGGGGTAGGTTAGGGTGACAGACGCACTGTTCAGGCTCATTGACAAATAGGCGTGAAGACCTCCCAGCAGTTGTCAGACATTTACATCTCTGTTTTAGCACTTCAAGTCTAAGACATGTTAATTTGTGAAGTCTGGAAAGTATTTTTATCTGTAGCTAGGGATCATCATTATCAGAAAATGTTAATCATTGAATAGCTTCACAAATGATGGGGAATTAATACATGGGAAATAATAAATAGTAATCTATGCCAAATATGGGAGCTAGAACAGCTGTACAATCTTTACACCTTAGTAGGGGGGAGGAGTAGTAATGTAAAAGTTGACATGTTACATAAAGGCGTAAAGATTACAGGCCAGAGTGTACAGCGTTTGAGAATAATTGGGCCACTGGACCAACATAATTACATTGGCCCACATTTCACCATCTGCTGAGTTGTGAAAAGGAGAAGGAGACTGGGTAGGCCCAGTAGCCTACAGTCTAGAGTTCAGACAGAAGTACCCCGTTTTACACAATCCCTGTCTGTGTGCTGTCATAATCCCAGAATCTCTGTATTTGAAGTTACATTTTGCATTGTATTTTGAAAGTGTTCTCTTTCTTCAATTGTTCAGATGATAAAGTGATTTGTACAATCGCCCATGCAGAAGTGTCAGGATTCAATAGAACACAGATCTGTCTCTGATGCTGTCTGTAGGTTCTGGTGGGTCATAATGGAGAGTGTTGGAGTGTCGTCCATCTCCTTACTGGGAATTCCTTATGTGGGTTTAGTTAAGGGATTGCTGCTCTTCTGCTCTGGATTAATGACCCTAATCTGGAGAGGGCAGAGTAGGTTGGAGCTGGGATTATGGTCTCTCTCACAGCCCTTAGCATTTTAGCACTCACTTTAGCACAAACATACGGTACTCCCACACGCACGCACAAACACTCTCACTCGCCCTTCACTCCCCATTCGCTGTCTCTATCTCACTCCACCTGTAATTCAAAATATCCCATTATTGTTATGTCAGATTATTCTCTGCTGGTGTGCAGCAGCCATTTTTCTTATAGGCTACTTGTTGTTGTTGTGCAGTATAGTTATTAAACAATAGGCACCCACACTGCAAGCTCCAGTAGGCCTACATTTTTTTGTTTATGTGTTTAATAAGGGAAAAGGACGCGCATAGCAGAGTGTGTGCAGACATCATGTTCAGTCTATGCTGCTCTCCGTTGAAGGCTTGACAGTCGAGCCAAAGGGGTCTTCGTCGTGACTTGTCAGTTGTCAAGCAAGTGATATAATTCAGCGATGAGGCGACAGCTTTGATTATCTTAATGTTGTTTCTTTAGGATTGATGATGGTCCTGGTTGTCTGGAGGGGTCTATTGATACTAAAATGTAATGAAAGGGTGACACATTAGAAGTGGATGTGTGACAGTCTAATACCTTCTGTCTCAATTCTTTCCCTCCCTCCCCCTCCCATCTCTCTCCCTCCATCTGCAGTGATCATGTCTTCCAGGGAGCGTCGGTCAGACCTGTACATCAAGGCAGAGCCCAGCAGTCCAGAGGGAGGTGGTGGAGGCCGGGCCAGCCCAGGGGGAGCCTCCTCGGACTCCTCCCAGAGTGGTGGAGGTGGAAATAGAGGAGACGGGGTTGGGCGCTACTCACCCCCTCTGTACACCCCAGCCCTGCGCTGCCACTTCAAGGAGGAGGGTGGTGATGGGGCGGAGGAGGGATCCACAGGTAGCGGAGGAGGGCGGTGCAAGTATGCCCTGAGCACACTACCCAAGAGACTGTGTTTAGTGTGTGGAGACGTAGCGTCTGGCTATCACTACGGTGTAGCCTCATGTGAAGCCTGCAAGGCCTTCTTCAAAAGAACCATCCAGGGTACGGATGTTTGTGGGGGTGAAGTTGAGTGTCTTGTGCATTTCTGCATCCCAGTATAATGAATTAAATGGGGTAGACCTTGATTGCTTTGACAAAAGTTTCATATCGCTGTTTGTTCCTTCTCTGTCCTTCTTTCCACCTCTTTGCCTTACCTAAGGTAACATTGAATATAGCTGTCCGGCGTCAAACGAATGTGAGATTACCAAGAGGCGCAGAAAGGCTTGCCAGGCGTGCCGCTTCACCAAGTGCCTCAAAGTGGGCATGCTGAAAGAGGGTGAGTGTATAATCCAGAGCCCTTAACTAGTGGGCTCGTTTGGTCTGGAGGCACTGTTTGATACCGTGTGACAAGTAGTTATTAAGATCTGCCCCTTTACCTCCATACTTCTCCAAATAAAGGGAGCTTGTTTGTCTCTCGTTCTCTCTCCCCTACTCCCTTTATCACGCTCTCTTCATTGTCGAGGTGTTGTGTGTCACAGGAGTCCGTCTGGACCGGGTCAGAGGAGGGAGGCAGAAGTATAAAAGGCGTCCAGAGGTGGAGAGTGCGACCTATCAGAGTGCCCCTTTACCGCTTAGGAAGGAAGGGGAGAAAGGTAAGGAAGGGACTGAGAAGACCTTGTCAGGTTTTGTCTTGAAAGAACACTTAACTGTGCAGGCAGGTTTTCCAAAGAGCCCTCATTTCTCAACAGAAGCATTAAGAAACTTCAGGGAACTATTTCCACAAGGACCAGTTATATTAACATAATATCTTTGTTCTTTGTTTCATGGTAAATGTAACCGCTGTTGTGCCATAACGCTTGCTTTCTGTTTGTGTGTGTGACCCAGGCTCCTCCAACATCATTGTGTCCCACCTCCTGGTGGCAGAGCCAGAGAAACTGTTTGCCATGCCTGACCCCCTGCAGCCTGATACGGCTCAGCGCACACTCACCACCCTCTGTGACCTCGCCGACCGCGAACTGGTCGTCATCATCGGCTGGGCCAAACACATCCCCGGTAAGGGGGGCAGTGAAGAGGGGTGGGTGGGGGAGGGAGATTGGCATGGGAAGAGAATAGAGAAAGTAGGAATGTAGTATGGTTCTACGGTGAAATAAGTTAGTTGGAACTAGCCCTCAGCTCTTATCAGTAGCTCTGCTGTGGTTCACTATGTCTTATTCAGGCCTAGAATGCTGTCTCTTTGTATCAGCTGTTTGCCTAGTGATTGATCAGTCAGTCTGCTCTAACCCTAACCCTCCCTCCCCTTCATGTGTCCACCCTTGCAGGCTTCCTGTCGCTGTCCCTGGCAGACCAGATGTCGGTGCTGCAGTCGGTGTGGTTGGAGGTGCTGGTGCTGGGTGTGGCCTTCCGCTCCCTGGGCTGTGAGGATGAGGTAGTGTTCGCTGAGGACTTTGTCCTTGACGAGGAGATGTCCCGCGTGGCTGGACTGACAGAGCTCAACGCAGCCATCAGCCAGCTGGCCCGACGCTTCCGCTCCTTGCAGCTCGACCGGGAGGAGTTTGTCATGCTCAAAGCCATCGCACTCACCAACTCAGGTAAACTAGCTATACAAAAGTATACCCATAGAATATCCATACAATCAGCATTATGTGGAGTGACATAACATGAAAATGTGATGGAAGCAGTAGGTGAGACTGAAATATCAAACCCTTCATATGTACAATTAGTTACTAATATGACAACATTCTTTATTTGAAGCACTACTCTACTTCAGTTCCATTTAGCAGATTGGTCCAAACAGTTTATTCCAAAGAAAATACAACAAAAATCAGCATAGACAGATTAGTAAAGATTTGTCTCAGTCCCATTCTCTGAGGACATTGTTGATGTGCATAACTCCAGCCCTGAGGGACTGACAGACGATTACTGTAAACAGCAGATTCACCCCCACGGTCTGCTTAGCCCACAAAGGCACTATTTGTTATGTTATAGACCAGTGCATCTTATTCCTTAATCACATACGTTTGTTGCCAAACACAATCTTACAAAACCCTTTGTCCAAAAGACAAAAGGAAGCTTTTAGAATATACACTCTGACCATGCTCCCCCTCTCCCTGCCAGACTCTGTGTATATAGAGGACATGGAGGCGGTGCAGAAGCTGAGGGACCTCCTCCACCAGACCCTGTTGGAGATGGAGTGCCAGCGACGCCCCGAGGACCCCCAGCGGGCGGGGCGCCTCCTCCTCACCCTCCCCCTCCTCCGCCAGACGGCTGGTCGCGCCCTAACCACCTTCTATAGCATCAAGACCCGAGGCGGCGTGCCCATGCACAAACTCTTCCTAGAGATGCTGGAAGCCATGATGGACTCGCCCTAGAGAGAAGGGAGGATGAGGAGAAGCCAAGGAGAGAGGATGCAAGGGCACGATGAGAGACAGGGAATCTGCAAAGAGTGAATGGCTGGCTGGTGTGAATGGAGAGGTTTCTATTAGATTTTGATAATGATGAATGTGGAGATTATTACAGGATTTTTAAAAATCATAGCCTCTTCAGAGATTCAAAAGTGTGTTTTAAAAACAGAGAAAACCCATATACATTTAGTAGATGCCCTCTGTGGAGGTTGATGGTGGAATATAACTCCTTAATACATGACTGCCAAACTTAGTTGAAAGACTCCAAGACTCGGTCAGTTCAAATATGGGAATAAACTCAATAAAAGACATCTAATCAATCTGAATGCCAGAATCATATTAGATGCCCACTATCCCTAATCTTCAGATGATAAACTACTGAAGGACTGCAGTGAGATTTCTAAGACCAGACTGTAACCTTGTGGCTTAAACTTTATTGCGAACGATGCAATATATCCCTCCACAAAAGCCATATGAAAATACCAGACAAAGAAATAGCCATTGACAAAGACTGCAGTATAGGGTCAGACCGACATGCACCCATAAGAGTAGTTGTAGGTTTGTCTACATACACAGACACAGTCTTACAACGCATTCATATGAATTACTTGCAATATGTTTTAAAGCAATACAATACTTTACATACAATTAATTAATTGCAAGACAAATAATAGTTGTGACTCGTATGGCAATGACTGGCTATAGGTAAAGGCCTGGGTGGTCAGGTTGCTGTGGAAAAACAGCTTTATAAAAGGCTGTGCAATTTATTATTAGTCCAAGAAAAGGGAATATTATGATTGTAAACAAAATGTTGACGTGTCTCTGTACTTGGAACTTGGAAGTTTTATTTATACTGTAAGTAGACTCAATAGGTACACAAAAAACTGAATTCTGCTCAATTAGTTGTGTGAGTGTGTGCGAGACAGAAGGGAAGTATTTCCTGCAGTGTTGGCACCGCACTGAAGCAATGAAGGTGCAGCAAAATCGGGGGGGGAAAGCGACAGTTCTACTTTTTTGGATAATTGATTCTCTAGATCTCTTCGCTAGTCCTCTCCAACCCCTATGATTCAGATGGAATGTGCTGCTTAAAACTGTTAATTTGATTAACTGAATATGCCATTATATATATTAGTGATCAAATCGACTTGGGACTAAAATGTGAAATGTAAACTGTTATATTTTACATGTTGTGCCAGCGGAACAGTTTGCTGCTGCTCTTGTAGCCGCTGAAAGACTGAAGAAAGGACCTCTGTTGTTTTGACCTGGAGGTCCTCATACGGTGTACAATCTTTGAACTGCAAGCATATTGGTGCCCAAATGGGGCATTGAGCAACATGAAATGCAACACATTCAGCCTCATATGGGAAGCTACAGCCCAGTCTGACAGAGACCATCCTTTTAATCATTTTCATACCCACTGAGCACACACTGGTTGAATCAATGTTGTTTCCACGTCATTTCAATGAAACTACATTGAACCAACGTGGAATAGACGTTGAATTGACGTCTGTGCCCAGTGGGTAGTTTCCATTTGTTGTTTACTTATTTCTCTGTTTTATGGGCTTGATTGGTGATATACATTTGTCTAATGATATATGCAATCATGTCAAATTCAGAAAGCCCTTACAGTGTCTGGAAGTTACTTTTTTTTGCTAACAAATGGCAAAATGTAAAGGGTCAGGTCAGTTTGTCATTTGGCCACTTGCTGATGAAGAAATTAACACTAAAACAGTCAGGGCAGCAAAATGCTCATTCAGTCTACATGTTGGGTGCTGTATTACTAGAAATAACTGAAAAACGTTATGCTTGTGTGTTTTCACTGTTAAAGAAAACTTTAGAACATGCCAATGAGAGCTGAAGCCTGTAAATGTGGGAGATGTTCCCTGACATGAATGATGGAATAGATTAGACTCATTGCCATTGTTAATTGAAATTAATGCTTGAGTATCTGGATTTTCCACATTACTTTTTTCTTTCTTGGATTTTAAGGCTATCTTGAGTTTAGATCGTTACACTTGGCCTCAGGTTTGGTACTGAAATAAAGCAATCCATTGAGAATGTTGTGATCATGTTTTTCAAATGGATTGTAGTATGGATTTTTTTCTTCTGATAATGAAGAAAACTGTGTTATATAGGAATTGTTACACCATTAATGAATTAACATACTCCCCTCTAGGACCCCTCCTGTCAGAGATTTTGCAGTCTGTAAACTCTCCCAAACAAATGTTCTAGTTTATATAATGTACCCATTCAGTTCTGTTCTTCACGGCTGTGGATGTTTGCGTTTGATTTGTGACTATTATTTTAATTCAGTGATTTTTTTTAAATTGAACAGTAGCACTAGGTGACAATTGGTTCAACTCTGTCCTATATCTTGCAGTCTGATTTGTGCTTTGTTCTATCATTATTTTTAAATTTGTTTCTCAAAGACGACTTGGAATTTTTGAAAATGTGTACACAAACATGGATGCCTGGGTCCAGTTTAAGAAAGTTGTAATAAAAAAAAAGATGTTTGTGTCAATAACTAATATAATAATACAAAGGTAGTGTTTTCATAATGATAGGCATTATGTAATGCCACTTTGTCGGTCATATATAGGTACGGTTCGCGGTGGGGGGGCATTTAGAGTATCACAATTTAGAGGATGTAAAATCATTGGTAGTTGTTAATGTGTTTGTTTACATTTGATGTAAAATGAGCAATACAAGAAATTACCAAAACTCTGTTTCACATTTCCTTGTATAGTCACAATGTAAATTAAACAGTAATAATAATGACAATTAATAGTAGTATTAAAGCTTATAACATGGAAAAGTTCAAATCAATATTTGTATTTAAAAAAATACTGTATTTAAAAGATTAAATTATATTTTTTACTCAATTTGCTGATGTTTGTTGATACTCGTTTTATTTTTCGTGTGGGTTTAAGTCTAATGGCTGTGAATGTCTGTGTGTGTGTGTGTGTGTGTGTGTGTGTACTGTTTTTCAGTAAGCTACAATGGTTATATTGATGTGACTGTCTAAACAAAATGTTCATAATTAAATCACTGTGAAGAAAATACAAATGCTGCACTGCAGTAAACAAGGGGTAGATTAAAATATTGTAGGTGCTTTGTGTTTTGTAATAAATTAACACACACCATCAGATATCATTGGTCTCGTACGTCTTCTGTCATGATTTGTTTGTTAGAATGTTTGTCTGTCTGCTGCTGTCCTGTTTCCCAGTCATGTTAAACACTGTTTCCTGTCCTGCTCACCAAAGCTCATGAGTCAGATATAAACACAGAGATCCTCTTAAATCAGTTATAATATGCAATTCTATGGATTGTGCCTTCAGAAAGTATTTATACCCCCTTGACTTATTCTACTTTTGGTTATGGTACAGCCTGAATTCAAAATTGATTACATTTTCTCTCTCACCCATCTACACACAATACCCCATAAGTAAAAACATGTTTTTAGAAATGTTTGCGCATTTGAAAATGAAATACAGAAATATCTAAGTATTCACACCCCTGAGTCAATACTTTGTAGAAGCACCTTTGGCAGTGATTAAAGCTGTGAGTCTTTCTGGGTAAGTCTCTCAGAGCTTTCCACATCTGGATTGTGTTATGTTTGGGGCAAATCCAATACAACACATCACTGAGTACCACTCTCCATATTTGAAGTCAACTTTCAGCAGGACAATAACCTAAAACACAACGCCAAATCTACACTGGAGTTGCTTAGTAAGGAAACATTCCTGAGTGGCCGAGTTACAGTTTTGACTTAAATCTATTTGAAAATCTATGGCAAGACCTGAAAATGGTTGTCTGGCAATGATCAACAACCAATTTGACAGAGTTTGAAGAATTTTGAAAATAATGATGGGCAATTGTTGCACATTATAGGTGAGAAAGCTCTTAGATACTTACCCAGAATGACTCACAGCTGTAATCGCTGCCAAAGGCGCTTCTACAAAGTATTGACTCAGTCTGAATACTTATTTAATGAGATATTTCTGTATTTCATTTCCAATACATTTGAAAAAAAATCTAAAAACATGTTTTGACTTTGTCATTATGGGGCATTGTGTGTAGATGGGAGAGAAAAAAATATACAGTTGAAGTCGGAAGTTTACATACACCTTAGCCAAATTCATTTAAACTCAGTTTTTCACAATTCCTGACATTTAATCCAAGTAAAAATTCCCTGTTTTAGGTCAGTTAGGATCACCACTTTACTTTAAAAATGTGAAATGTCTGAATAATAGTAGAGAGAATGATTTATTTCAGCTTTTATTTATTTAATCACATTCCCAGTGGGTCAGAAGTTTACATACACTCAATTAATATTTGGTAGCATTGCCTTTAAATTGTTTCACTTGGGTCAAATGTTTCGGGTAGCCTTCCACAAGCTTCCCACAATAAGTTGGGTGAATTTTGGCCCATTCCTCCTGACAGAGCTGGTGTAACGGAGTCAGGTTTGTAGGTCTCCTTGCTTTGTTGTCCTTAAGACATTTTGCCACAACTTTGGAAGCATGCTTGGGGTCATAGTCCATTTGGAAGACCCATTTGCGACCAAGCTTTAACTTCCTGACTGATGTCTTGATGCTTCAATATATCCACATAATTTTCCTTCTTCATGATGCCATCTATTTTGTGAAGTGCACCAGTCCCTCCTGCAGCAAAGCACCCCCACAGCATGATGCTGCCACCCCCGTGCTTCACGGTTGGGATGGTGTTCTTCGGCTTGCAAGCTCCCCCTTTTTCCTCCAAACATAACAATGGTCATTATGGCCAAACAGTTCTATTTTTGTTTCATCAGACCAGAGGACATTTCTCCAAAAAGTACGATCTTTGTCCCCATGTGCAGTTGCAAACCGTAGTCTGGCTTTTTTATGGCGGTTTTGGAGCAGTGGCTTCTTCCTTGCAGAGTGGCCTTTCAGGTTATGTTGATATAGGACTCGTTTTACTGTGGATATAGATACTTTTGTACCTGTTTCCTCCAGCATCTTCACAAGGTCCTTTGCTGTTGTTCTGGGATTGATTTGCACTTTTTTCGCACCAAAGTATGTTCATCTCTAGGAGACAGTACGCTTCTCCTTCCTGAGCGGTATGATGGCTGCGTGGTCCCATGGTGTTTATACTTGCGTACTATTGTTTGTACAGATGAACGTGGTACCTTCAGGCATTTGGAAATTGCTCCCAAGGACGAACCAGACTTGTGGAGGTCTACAATTTTTTTTCTGAGGTCTTGGCTGATTTCTTTTGATTTTCCCATGATGTCAAGCAAAGAGGCACTGAGTTTGAAAGTAGGCCTTGAAATGCATCCACAGGTACACCTCCAATTGACTCAAATGATGTCAATTAGCCTATCAGAAGCTTCTAAAGCCATGACATCATTTTCTGGAATTTTCCAAGCTGTTTAAAGGCACAGACAACTTAGTGTATGTAAACGTCTAACCCACTGGAATTGTGATACAGTGAATTATAAGTGAAATAATCTGTCTGTAAACAATTGTTGGAAAAATTACTTGTGTCATGCACAAAGTAGATGTTCTAACCGACTTGCCAAAACTATAGTTTGTTAACAAGAAACTTGTGGAGTGGTTCTAAAACAAGTTTTAATGACTCCAACCTAAGTGTATGTAAACTTCCGACTTCAACTGTATGTAATCCATTTTGAATTTAGGCTGTAACACAACATAATGTGGAATAAGTCAAGGGGTGCACCTGAGCTCAATTTCGAGTCTCATAGCAAAGGGTCTGAATACTTATGTAAACAAGGTATTTCTGTTTTTTTATTTTTAATACATTTCCCAAAATTTCCAAAAACCTGTTTTCGCTTTGTCATTATGGGGTATTGTGTGTAGATTGATGAGGGAAAAAATAATGTAATACATTTTAGAATAAGGCTGTAACACAACAAAATGTGGAATAAGTCAAGGGGTATGAATACTTTCTGAAGGCAATGTCTTCTGCATTAGGAAAGTCTTCAGACCCCTTCACTTTTTCCACATTTTGTTACTCTGGACCTTGGGCTATACCGCAGTCCATCACCATCTACACTACAGCATGAGGAACATTATCTGTCAATGTGTGTGAACCTAGGTAATTTGTGCAAGAGTGTATTAGCACCCTCAGCTAAAAACCAAGGCATATTTTGATTAAATTGAAATACCACATTATTGGGACAAACTACCGAAATATGTGCGCTGTGCTCAGGTTAAATCTCGCGGGTTTGATTGGTTCGATCAGAGAAGATCCTGCTGAGACTGTCCTCTCATTGGAACGCTGGAAGAAGTGCAACAGCTATTGCTTCCCCTTTGCAGTGCTTTGATGACATATAGTTCCGCATTTTAAAAAGGTATAATTTGAAGGTATAATTTGTAATTATCCTAAATATAATTTATCAATGTGTTACGTGATTCATATGTAATGTAAGGTTTAGTGTAGTATTTATATGTGTTTAATTTTTGTTTCATTTTCATGAAATAAAAATCCTTCAATGTGTAGAAAAGTTCAAATATAGGGTCTGGAAAGGTAGTGTCAGGTGCCTGCCAGGTGGAGAGGCGGAAGCTTTTAGTAAATCCCTTGCAACCAGACGCTCGGCTCAAGTGTGAGGTAACATCGAAGATTTTTATAACTAAACCAAGATAGACCACAGCCTGTCGTTTCCAACGGGAACAAATGAGTCATAGTGGGCAGGACAATCAATGAGGTGGGCAGAGCCAAGCAAGAACTAGCGAGATCATATTGGCCCGTTCTAGTGACAAAATCCATCTCCTTCCATCTTCTCCCACCGCCGGCCATATTTGGTAGGGAGTGGAAACGCCAAGCGGCTGCTTCACATTTATACATCCGGTGAAATATCTGTCTCATTGTTCTATCTGTGGTAACATTTGTAAACCAACTTCCGTGACAGCCACACTGAACTTGCTGCAGCCAGCCAGTCTGTTCTCTGCTACCACTCGAACAGGCGTTAAAGGGGCTCGTCTCAACATAGGCCAATGATTTCCAGCTCAGCGATTCTCAAAGGGACCCGTGCCGTCCAGCGCATCAGACCGCTACACACCACACTCATTGCCAACATGCCTATCAAGGTAAGAAATGCCGTCAGAAAAATGTTTGATCGAAAAATAACGCCCCTTCTTGACCTTGACTGCAGACTCTTTATTTAGAGGTTTTTTAACACGTGATTCTTTTATTTATTGTCGTTGTTGTCCATGATGCATACAACCGCCATGCTCAAGCCACATTATCTAACGTTACTCAAAGGCCATATTGCACTGATGATGGGTAAAGCATGATCGACTGGTGCATTCAATCAGTGAGCACGGTTATATGCACACACAAACTAACTATAATCTGACTAAAACGTTTACATGCTTTGTAAGAATAACGATTTCCCTAATAATCCTGTTTACATGACACATCTGAAATCAGGCTAACGTTACCTGATGGGACTTTTAATACATGCAGAAAATCGCCAATCAAAATAAACGTTCTACTACACAGTGACCATGTTATTTTGCGTTGTTCGGACACATAGTTTTCACATACACACTTTATAAATGCATATACTTTACGAACTCACTTCACTTGAGCATAATGCCCACCAGATGCATGTGTTTTGTTTTTTCAGATGTCTAGTCCGCATTTAACCGTACTTGACGCACATGTATTTCGCTTTTCAACTAGCTAGCAAAGAGGAAGAGAGCGGTCCAACTCAGTGTTGCCAACTCCTCAGTAAGGAAAGTAGCTATTGGCTGTCCTAAAAGTAGCTAAATGACGTCATCATCTAATTTGCATAATTGGCCATGTGCATGTAATTGTGATGGATGCTGTAGGAGAGAGGAATAACTCTTGGGAGAGACAAAAAGTGAGTAAAAAACACCCTACATTTACATCCCGCCCTGAATGTAAGCCAGGGCGGGATCAGCCATGCGCGATTCATTTGCAGTCTCGACGTGGAGGGGTGAACATCTCCTGCTCTGACCGCAGCTGGGAGGGACTGCTGCTCGTGCGAGGACTGGGACGCCTGTGAGTGCTTTGGGACTGGGGTGGGGCCCGCGGCAGCACCCGCTGCTCGTTGAGAAGAGTAAGAACAATACGTGCTTTCACGTCAGAGTCTCCAATAACACCAGAAAAAGTCGCTAGATTTGTCGCTAGTCGCTTTTAAAAAAACGTGTCACTAGAGGGGTCTGAAAACTCGCTAAATATAGGGACAAAGTCGCTAAGTTGGCAACACTGGTCCAACTCGGCGGAAAATCTATCTCCCTACAGCAGGTGGCGTTTTTCGTTTCGCCCACCAAGCAGGGAGGTTTGTATGGAGGTCAATGAGTGTCAAATTTGGTTAAAAACAAAACATGTATAGCTTATTTGCTACATGAGGTTTATTTGATCGAATAGAAGTTTAATACTTAAGTTAAAAGTGTACTGATATAAGTAGGACACGTGACATCCTGGCAACTTTGAGAAATAACACTATATAGGAGTTGCCTCGAGATGGCTATGCATATTCATGGCATGAAGTTAGTAGCATAGCATCTCTCTCCATTGAATACAGGTGGTTGACATCAACATCCCTCATCGAATATTTAAAAAAGGATTACAGTAATGAGATGTATCCACCAATCCAAACAAAGGATAGGCGGGAGCTATACAGCCTGCCATGCAGCTTTGTGGACAACAACTCCCATTGTTAGGGCAGAGAGACATGTATCTTGTCAGCATATCCATAATCTTTGAAGCTAGCAAGTTGGAGTTTGTGTACTTCCATTTGTACCATTGCACGGTGAAGCAACGCACAAGCTGAAAATATTGAACACAAGCGGTACACAGAACGAGGCTTGATGCCTCATGCCCAATGTCCACCAGATGCATATGCGTTTTGTTTTGCCGGATGTCTAGCCCGCCGGAACCCAAAGACTTTGATGCATCATGTCCACCGGATGCATCAAACTCGGCGTTCCGGCGGAAGTAATTCACTGTCAATGGAGCAGTCCGCAACGCTACGCTGGGGGTGCTGCACTAGGCTGCGGTGCGTTCTGTATACCGCATGCGTTCCGTATTTTCAACTCGTGCGTTGCTTTATCGTGCCGGGGTACAAACGGAAGTACACATACTCCATCTAGCTAGCTTTTAGCTAGTTGAAAAGCGAAGCAGATTCGGCAAAACAAAATGCCTTAGATTTCTCTACATGCCATTTTTATTTGTGGTAATATAGCTCAGTCAGCGGTAGACATACCAACACTGCGCATGACTGAGCCAGCTGCTGTCAGTGAGTGCCCCAGAAAGGACTCTGCTTTTGGCTCTATACATTCAGCAAAGTCACGATGCTGCAGTAGTAACTTTTCAAGGCCGTTGTGGTGGCAAAATGTCCAATACATTATTCAAATGCTGCTGTACAGAGTCAAGTTCCAAATTCGATATCTGTGACTAATTGAAGGGGGTTGCATTTTATGTGTAACAGAACAGAATATGATTTTCAGCTTTCATGTTTTTCCATATCATTTGATTGACCTTCAACAGTGTTTGATTGAATGAATGCTTCACACTCACTAGGTTGGAGAAAAACTTCCGGCAGTGGAGGTTCATGAGAATGAGCCAGGCAATAAGGTGTCTATGGACCAGCTCTTCAAGGGGAAGAAGGGAGTTCTCTTTGCTGTGCCAGGGGCTTTCACTCCTGGGTGCTCCAAGGTAACCTCCATTCAGATCATCCTCATTTCAATGAATTTACATGTATGTGCATTCCTCTTTTTTTATCAAAGTTTGTTCACCATGTACATCCATCATCTGAAATCACTGTTTCACCCCCCAGTCCTCTTGCTCTTATCCCTCAGACTCACCTTCCAGGGTTTGTGGAGCAGGCAGCAGAGCTGAAGAGCAAGGGTGTGCAGGAGGTCGCCTGCATCTCCATTAACGACGCATTCGTTATGGCTGCCTGGGGAAAGGAGCATGGAGCAGACGGCAAGGTGCAGAATGCTGTTTGAAATTAACAAGCTGATACCTTGACCTTCAGCCTTCTGAATAGTCTTGTCGTGACGTGACTTTCATTAATATGACTGTTATTTATCAAATCAACTAACTATTTACTCAATTTAAAATAATAATGTAACAACTCATTAGCATTTGGGGCACCACAGAAGAAGTTGTTCATAGAGTTACCATCTCCCGAATTAAACTCTAAAAGGTCTTTACCTATCAATATGTATAAAACAGTCAACGTATCAATCATTACCGCTTATCAGTCGTCATTCTGAATGGTCGCAGAATTCTTGGATCCGCAAGAACCCCAGCTTTACTTATGATTCAGCACTACACAAATTGGCGTAATTACTTATTTACTAGCTAACTAAATAATAACACAGAATACATACATACTTAATACATGAGAAAGTCCCTAGCGGACTAACAACAGCATGACTGCTTGGTTATTAAAAGAGGGAGGGGTAGATAGGGAGAGACAAAGAGAGTCAAACTTATCGTTGATACATTTGGAAGCTACCCTCAAAGTAATCATAATACTTTGCTCACGAACCACCGCCCGTTTGGGTAAGAAGTCATAAATGTATTTATGTGTAGATGTCTTTGTTCGTCGTCTCTCTGTTGAAACCAATCAATCCTTCTATGGGAAGGGGTAGGTTTTATTGTCCCGTTTCAGTGTAAGGCTCTGCTTTTCCTGGCTTGGAGTGTTAAAATAGAACAGATACTCAGATGCATTCTAATGATTGTCTGAGATGGGATTTTCTTCTTCCCACCTTGTGTGGTTAGTGAAAGTTCAAGATCACTTTACACGGACAGCTGCATTCTGGCAATGTTCTGGTCTAGTGAGTTTATCTTCTTCTCCTCGTGTTGAGATTCAAAGGTCTAACCATTTCAAACGTGTTGACTACCGTCTCACGTCTGTCTGGTCTAACCATTTTCAGCCGTGTAGCCACAGCTCCACGCTTTCTGGTCTAATGTAAATTTCGTTACCAAGGCTGTTTATGCACTCTGATAGAAGGGGATTTCCTACTTGCTGACACGGTCTCTGAGCTCACTCGGGGCGTGGCTACTGACTGTGCATAGCTTATATGAAAACCTATGATCTCGTTAGAAAACTAAAATCTCATTCCTATCTTAACAAAAATACTGTCGTAATTCTCCATATTATATACACAACATATTGGATGTAAACTTGACAGATAGTGTGTATACTTTCCAAATTACAGTATTTTCGTTATAACAGTTTTAATGACATCACAAAATAATAAACAATATGACATGATTGGACTTTAGATCCCCACTGACCATTCCAAACATTTGGCTGTTAGGAATATTGTTCCAGTGTTTACTTTTGGGCGTAAAAGTCTTCCTACATTCCTTTCCCCATACTAGGGGGCCTGAGAGATTCACCTCCTCTCTAATTTATGGCAGAGTGTTAAGGTGTCAAGACCGGCACAGCCCCCACTCCCCTCTTCTGTGGGTAAGAGGGTCTGGTTGTTGTCAGACATTTGCCAAGCTGATCTGAGGCCTTTGATTCCTCACCCAGGAGAGTCATGACAGTCTGTTCATGTAGTCTACATAGTGCATTCTTCAGTCCTGGGCTGAATATCTCCCTTCTGTTATTCTGATCTCCAGCACTTGACTTGGTACAGGAAAGCTTAGTCATCTGGTTGCAGGTCTTTGTCTTATGTAATCAATCTGGAGCAATCTGCAGTTGCTACATCCATTTTTAGTCTTTTAAATGAATGATACGTACCCAGTGATTATTGAAGACTAAACTTAAATGCCTCATGAGTTTATTTCTACGGTCCTATTCGATTAGAACCCCAAATGTAACCTTGTTTTACTCCATTGTTGATAAACAATGTAATTGTAAACAAACTCTAGGCTACAAACATGGTTAAAACTATAATTTTGATCTCATAGATGGCCTTGCATCCATAGCTCTGTCTAGGAATGTGAGTGGTTACATTTCTCAAGCCCCATCCCTCAGCAGTTTACCAAAAACAGTGGCGGGGTGTACCACTTTGTTTTAACTGCTGATTACCTCTAACATGAATTGGAAATATCTTATTTCCCAAACAGAGACGTTATTACAACAAGACCATAACTGGTTGAATTTTATAGAGATCTTTCAGTCTAGACCTGTCTAATAGTTGTGGCATTGAGTCCCTGTCACTTACAGGCCCTGTTCTTGATCATGTTTGCATCTCAAAGAGTGTTAGGCCGGGAATCAATCCGATCGCGCTTGTAGACAATGCAGCTTTTAAAGGCAATGTTACCATGTTTGCGGAGATCGCGTTCAAGGGAAACACTGCAGACGTTGGCTCAATTGGAAATTACCTTTAATTAAATGTCATGAATGCTACAGCTTGGTTTCGGTTTGAATCCCGGCCCTAATCTGCGCATGCAAGTATTAAATGAATATACTGTTTGTAGTTTAATCATACATATCGCTACAGTGTACACAGAATTTATACTTGCGTGTGTACTGTCTACGGCCCGTCTTTTGCAGGTGCGAATGCTGGCTGATCCTACTGGAGCATTCACTAAGGTCAGATACGTCTTCAAAGCCTTGATTTTATTAGTTTACACGTTATGTACATTGTGTGAATCTAACCTCCATTTTATTTACAGGCAGTGGACCTGTTGCTAGACAACGATCAGATTGTTGCTGTGCTTGGAAACAAGCGCTCCCAGAGGTGAGGTCTTATTTTCTCCTACATCAGTGTTGAACTTGCTGCAGTAGCCTGGGTCACACTTAACATGTTTCTGTTTAGTCTCACTCATCTCAACATTTGGATTTCACACTGCAAAAAGCATAATCAACCCCAATAAATTGTCACATTCCTTGTCTCTTAGGTACGCTATGGTGGTGGAAGATGGCATTGTGAAGAAAATCAATGTGGAGCCTGACGGTACTGGTCTCACCTGCAGCCTGGCCTCCAACATGCTCTCTGAGCTGGTGTAGTTCTGTTGGGACTAGCTCACTCCAACCACAGACAGCAGAAGTCTAACCTTAAGTTACAATGCACTGTCATACTAGTTTACCTGACCCTTCTTGTCACATGCCTGTGCAACTATGATCTCAAGAAGTGGAAGGAAATAGATGTGGTTTAATGTACAGCAATTGTTTGGTTCATAAACTGCAGTCCAAAACTGTGATTAAAGCAATACTATAGATGTGCTCAGCAAAGACATTTCCTTGTGTTTTTTCCACCGGCTTGGGGACTTTCTGGATGATGGCAGAACAGTCCCACTTGATGTTACTGGCTGCTCAGGGAGATTGAGTTTTGCTATTAAAGTGAAGGTATAAAATTAACTCATCATCCCACAGGTTTTGATATGCTTTAAGTAAAAGGCATGGCAGTTAATTTGAATACTTGTAAGGTTATCGAATGGTTTGTGCAATCAACAATAAGGCAAAATGACTACAAGCAGACTTGAATACGTTTAATTATAAGAATTACACAGATGAAGGATATCCTTGTTATATTGTAATCATGGAGGGGAATTATATAAGGAAATAACAATAGTGACAATAATTAAAAAGTTCCACAATCATTCCTATTCACTTTATGAAAGCGACATCTGGGATCTTCCCATGAGCCTGAGGAGAAACAGAACAGAAGTTTAGTATCTGAAGCCTAGAAGGGTACATAACATCCAGTCAAACTAAAGCAACACACATTGCTCCCTTAGATATACTAGGATGAAAATGTGGATCTATGAATATTTATAGAGTAATATGAGGACTCATTTACCTTGAGGTCTGTGTAGACCTGCCCTGCTCGGTTGAAATCCCACTCATTGTCCTGCAGGCATCTGAAATACATTGATCAAGTAAGTTAAAACCCCCCCCAAAAAAACAAATTAAACTGCAGTACTTCTTCTCCTCCTCCCCCCCCCCCCCCCCCCCAAAAAAAAAAGCCTACGTACATTAAGATAGGATACAAAAAAAAATGTAGATGCCCGTTTTGGCCTCTAAAATGTGTTTATGATCAAGTTCGATCCCCACAGTGAATTATTACGTTCACTACCAATCGAGATATTTAACTAAATAGTGATTCGGACTACTACATTTGTCGTCACACAGGACCACGTGCTGACACAGAAAAATCACAGGGCCGGCAGACTACGAGTAGGCTCCAGTTTACTCAGGCAGGATGAAAACGACTACATCGACCCTTTGCTAGGTACAGCCACTTTCACCACGATCCTTAGTTCTTTTTTGGTACCATTCAGCAACATGGCGCACCATCAGGAGTTTTCCATAGGAATACGTGGATGATGTCAGCGCAATCATTATCTACTGCTTTTAATGTCTGTCCACTCCCCGGAGCTGAAGATCCGAATCACATTCTGCGCATGTTTGTTTAGATCTACGTTACACACACATTGTGGTCACCCTTCACATTTCTCACTGTCAATTGTGAATGGTGCATATTACAGGTGAAATGTCCATCTGCATACCAACCATTTGATCTCAATCTGTTTCATGGGGATATGCTTTAGATCTTCTTGAGTTAAACAGTGTTGTTTCGAAGTAACCTAATGTTTTGAATTATGTACAGTGAGTGAATTTTAGAGCAGATGGTGTTCAACTGTAGCATAGCCTACCTGGGTTTAGTTTAATCAATGTACATATTTTGCATAGTGACACACTTTAGTTTTGGCCACATGATTACAAAAATAGGCCATTCGATCATCCTAAAATCCCATGAGTTTTTGAAATTTTTATTATATATACACACGGTTCTGTTATGTAGAATACTATCATTGTGATCTTGCAGACATTGATGCAGCTTTGATCTAACTTATTAAACAAGCACCATTCACCAGAGTAGCCTGTTCTCTATGAGTAGAGCACAGACTGTATGTAAAGTAGAGAATCCTGCACATGCGCAGAAGCTTCGGGACCTTTAGCTGTCGGGAAGAGGGTCCGGAAAAGTCGGATTCGCAGCCACTCCATAAAATCTAATGCAAGGTAACTGTTTGCCACTCACTTCTGGGACCATTCCAGGTTCATGCCGGACTTGAGAGAGAAGGCAGAGAGCATCTCTTGCTGGGGGGCTGAGAGGGTGGGGACGGGGCTGCTGGATGGGGTGGGGGCGGGTGCAACAAAGGCCCGCCGGATCTCCTCCGTCGTAGCATTGCGGACAAAAAGCTCGTCGTTAACTATGCAAAGACTGTTGAAACAAGACGAACACAAGAAAAGACGACATTGCACATTTCCGATAGTATAAAAAAAGATTAGTTAGTTACAGTCAAGACAAACATCTAGCAGAGTTTTGTCAATACACTACATGACCAAAAGTATTTGGACACCTGCTCGTCAAACATTTCATTCCAAAATCACAGGCATTAATATGGAGTTGGTTCCCCCTTTGTTGCTATAACACCCTCCACTCTTCTGGGAAGGCTTTCCACTAGATGTTGGAACATTGCTGCGGGGACTTGCTTCCATTCAGCCACCATTAGTGAGGTTGGGCACTGATGTTGGGTGATTAGGCCTGGCTCGCAGTCGGCGTTCCAATTAATCCCAAAACTGTTCGATGGGATTAAGGTCAGGGCTCTGTGCAGGCCAGTCAAGTTCTTCCACACCGATCTCAACAAACCATTTCTGTATGGAACTCACTTTGTGCACAGGGGCATTGTCATGCTGAAACAGGGAAGAGCCTTCCCCAAACTGTTGCCACAAAGTTGGAAGCACAGAATAGTCTAGAATGTAATTGTATGCTGTAGCGTTAACACTTCCCTTTACTGGAACTAAGGGGCCTAGCCCAAACCATGAAAAACAACCCCAGACCATTATTCCTCCTCCACCAAACTTTACAGTTGGGACTATGCGTTCGGGTCCAGTTCTGTGAGCTTGTGTGGCCTACCACTTCGCGGCTGAGCCGTTGTTTCTCCTAGACGTTTCCACTTCACAATAACAGCACTTACAGTTGAAAAAGATTTGAAGGGGTGTCCACATACTTTTGTCCTCATACTTTTGTTTATATAGTATATTGGAGGAACTATCGCTATGCTTGTGGTCTGGTACAAATGTCAAGGCCTACCTTGTCCCTCCAGCCGGCACTGTGATGAACACCCGAGAGAAAGCTCTGACAGAGTCTCGGGATTTACCTTCAACTGGGGTGAAAAAAATACATGGTTAATGACTTTTTTGCTAATGAAAATGTATGTGGGAAACATCAGAAAACAGTATACTTTTGCACTATAATACATTTGAAAAGTTCAAAAAAACATACCTTCTTTGAACACTCCAGTGACTGTGAATGACAGTAACGTGTTCTGTAAAAGTAGAGAGAGAGAGAGATTGAAGCTATGAAATCAAGGATGGTCATGGGCTTTGCATGCGAGTTGATGGTTAGAAGTGAATTCTACTCACGGTGAAGGTGTTGACGTCCACATTTAGAGATGCAGTGTCATGGTGCGTTTTAGGCAGTTCGTTCAGGAAAGCCACCACATTCAGACGGGTGTGCTTCAGTAAGCGGAATCGTGTGGCTGAAAGAACGGGGCAAGAGGATTTATTTAAGAACAAAGATGTTACGCTCTCAATGTAGTCTTCTTTTACTTTTTGTGTACATGAGTGAACACTCATGGTAACTTTCACAACCAAGAGGTTTACTTTATTCAGAGACTAAATTCGCACTGTAAGAGATGACATAATGACATCAACCATCACTTCTCAAAACTTTGAACTAGAGAATCAGAAGAGAGCGAGACTCACTGGGATCTTTGAGCTTTTTTAGGTTGCGAGTGTCTTTATGGTAATCTCCAAGACTGCACCTAGAGACAGTGACTGACTATGTTAAACAGGTGACAAATAGGTGATGCTGAGTGACTGTTTATAATACACTGTTTATGCATGCTGCTGGAGACATTAACGACTAGCCGAGGGGTACCTGGAGGGGTTCTGCATGGTGATGGCCATGCTCAAGGAGAAGGTTGCTCCATCATGGTAGGCATCTAACAAAGGTTGTCTGTCCCCGGAGTCATACACACTGTAGTATCTAAAATATAAGTTACATTAGAAGAAACATACAACTTACATTTCCAATCAGTACAGATAGATATTCTACCTATTGCAGATCAATGAGTCTTATTTTAAAGAATAAACCAAATGACATCAAATCATGCTGCCCTTTTCTTATAACCATACGTGTGTGTTGTAGTGAGTCAGTGTTTTGGGTTCAGGCTTAGTGTGTAGTGTACAGTAGTAATCTGTATCTGTGGATTCAATCGTCTTTCCCTATTACACATAAAGAGCTAAGTGCAAACTCACTGTTGTAGGAAGGCAAGGATGGGAGTCTTGATCTCTTCTGAGCAGAAGTAGCTGGGCTGTGACAGCAGAGTCAAAGGGGGAGAATTGTAAAGTAAAGAAAACCCTCCTGTTTTGACAGACGTGGTTACATCACAGCCCCTAATGATAAACAATGGGCTGTATGTATTACCTTGCAGGGCGGAAGGGCAGCAGGAGTCACCTCCACATCAAAAACTATAGGAGGGGGGAGATCCTGACCATCCTAGTGAGAGGCAGAGAGTTCAAGGAGAGAAAACAAAAACAACTAAAAGGACTATTGAAGAGTTGTAAATCCTTCACAAATACAATTATAATAATATCCAAAACGAGTAATAAATAAATAAAGAAACGTTTGTGGAAAAGGAGGAAGGAAGAATTTAGAATCCTTACCAGTTTGAGAAGCCGGGGGAACCTTTCTCTCACCGTGCTGTCCGACATTCACAAAAACACAGAAGATACAGGAGACGGGAGTTAGTGCTGCTGACTAAATATAAAGACTCGGAGTCATCCCCCTCAATACTATTTAGCCACACACACGTATGCTCATGCACCCACAGCCTCATCCATGGATAATAATCTCTAATAGCTGCCCAAATGTTGATATAATCCCTGTCCAGACAATTAACTGAAATGAGGGGAGGAACTTGGCCAAAGACCAACAGACTTGATTCGTCATTATCGGGTTGGTTTGAACTTCAAACTTGATTGTTCAGGATAGACCACACCCATGCCTGATCTTGAAATAATCAGCTCTGCATATCAGTGAGAGGTACTTAATGCTACACGTCCTCATGTACTAATATGAACAGTGATACAGATAATACAGATAAATCTATGTAAAATAAATCTACGACGACAGTCCCAATTTCGCCACCCACCCCGGCACCCTTTCCTGTGGCAATGTACTCACCCCTTTGTGATACTCACCGTCCCCCCTACACGCCGAAACACACTGACACACGTTGTCTTGGAAGGGGTGGTAGGGGTAGGGTAGGGGTGTGAACGTTGGTTGTGAGCGCTCATACCAACAAGAGAAAAATCAGTGCTTTTCACACGCATAGGGGAGTGGACTGGTGATTCAGACGTGTTATGTGGCCTATGTGATTGGTAGATTCTACAATGGTGGTATTGTGGTAAAACTAAAATGTTGTACATTTGAGCAGTCCGATACACACGTCATAGAACCAAGAGAGTGAAATGGAATCTAAAGACTGCAGGGATGAGATGCAGAGGTGATGATACACTGCTGAATTACATGAAGCACAGGTATGAGGGGTTAATCCATTACATTAAGGCTGGTTAAAGTTACACCATGTCGTTTCATGTAGAAAACTACACACTCGCCATCAGTGTATTTCACCAAAGCCATAGCGATATATAGCACAGAGAGGGACTTAAGGTAACACAGAACAAGAGAGACTCGCCGTACCAAACCCCAACAGAAAAGGGGAGTTCACGAACAGCTTTGATAGATATATATAGAACAGAGAGGGATGGAGGGACACGCTAGATTTGCTTTGATAGAAGATGCAATGTCACTAGGAGTAGAACACATGTTAGTTGAGGAGACCATGCATCCCCTTCAGATGAAGAAAATACACAAATAGAAAATGAAAAGACAAACAGAAAGAGTGATAGAGAGCATGGATGTTGGGCCCTGAGCGCCACTACAGAGCACCATTGGAAGAAGCTCTTTGTTGCTAGTATTGATTGACGAAAGAATGCTACTGCATCTGACACAACATATTTTGTACCTGAAGAAATTATAAATTACAGTTTGGACCCCACTTCAACTTTAACATTCTGGGGGTGGTTAAACAAATAAGGCATTCAAGCAAAAGTGTTTTTCTTTGATCTTTTTAGGGAAACATGTTAAGAGCGATATCTGAGGACTTGATCAGTGAACATTGAGGTGACTGCATGTCTTTATGCCCACAGAATAAACTTTAAGAGTCATATCCTTAAAAGGAAATCAACTTCATATATTGAAATCCCACTAATCTCTCAATAAATGTATCTTTGTGTCCCTCATTTTCAAAGCCACTCCTCCTCTCTGGCTGTTACATTCTGAGGATGTGTCCACCAACTTGTAACATAAACAAGCCTTGAAGTAAAGGCATGTTAGATTTAAGGGAATTATGATAAAGCTTGTATTTGGCAACTGCTTGGCTTTTTGGAAACCTCTCTCCCTCTCCAACCCCAGGCCTGTAGAGCAAATCTTCATCTTTGTGTTCTTCTTCACTTCAATGTCTTCTTCGTTCAGCATATACTGTATGTATGTACGTGCGTGCGTACGATGTGGCCAGATGCACGGCTGTGCCTGTCTTAGGTTGTCCCGGTATCAAAGGTGGGATCTTACCCGTCATTGGCTAACCAGCCCTCTTCACTGGCCACATTTCAGGACCCGTTATAGGGGAGGATGGAAGGAGGTACCATCAGCCCAATCAGCATGTAGCACAAGCAGATAGTAAATACCATGTTTCCCATATGAATATGTAAGGAATCCTTTTCCACAATGCACACTAATTAATCCAAGCTCTTCCCAAAGTATGGGTCTCAATGACTACTACGGGTCAAAATGTTGTGGTCAGTATTATCCATGATAAGTGTGTGTATGCTTGAGCGAATACCTCGACATTTAAATTATATGGATTTCCTTTTTTTATGTAAAAATGTAATATAGAGGTGTCTGTAGGGGGCACAGGGCCATCTCCACTGCAGAAAACAGATGGAAGGTAAAGATGAGCTGCAGAGTTTCAGAGAGGTAGAGAGAGACCGACAAAAAGAGCACTCAGACAGTTGAACCTGCATCTAGAACGGGGGAAGGGGTGGAGAATAATTAAAATGATAGATGTAGCCATTATCCTCAACTACACCATGTGTTAGCTGGTTAATGTTGAGTTATATGGCGTGAAGAGGTTAATGGTTTGATCATGTCAAAACTTCGGCACGTATGGACCTTAAATTAAAATAATCATAAAGGTGGCATTACATTTGAATTCTGGTGCTTCCCCACAAGCATTGAGTAGGGTATTTGTTTGATTCCAACATAAAACAAAACATTGTTGTCTAAGAACAGATGATATGAAGTCTTAACTTCTTCACCACATGTTATTGTAGTAAAGTGGGAGGGCTCAGTGAGAGGCTCTCTGATAGGATGGCCGTCACTAAGCCACTCAAGTTCTTTCAAATTTGAGCGGTGCGTTACTATTCAGTAGTACCACACCAAACATGTCCTTCCTGAATCATATAATCCATAAATAACATGTCATTTCCCACAGGACAGGAATTTTCTGAATACATTCAAGTTCCCCCCTGAAATACAGGGAATAGAGAGCTAAAGTACCCCCCCCCCCACACCATCCACCTCACAACACACTGTCAACATCATACTATTACCCACCCACCCATCCTGAGCACAGACTGACCTGATGTAAGAAGCTTGGTCCTTGAAATGGTCGCAAAGGGGATTCTTCTCCAGCCATAGCTCCACCAGCTTAAGACCCTTGATCCTATCCAGCTCCCGCTCTGTCTTTAACTGGAATGGTAGGGACAAGAAAATCTAATCAAACAGCCAGTAGCCTAATTGCTCCTCTGAAGAACTTACAGAGAGAAAACTCCCTAGTCCCCTAGAGCAGTCAATTTACTAAATTAATGACGTGGATAACTGAAAAGCAATGAGACTTTGTGCAGTCCCAGTAAAGATCAGTGTCTGAGTAACAACCCATTGTACCACAACCAGACCCGGTCTCCTCACCTCGTTATGAGAAAGATTGAGTGTCTTCAGGTTTGGAACCTTGTTGACCAGCTCTGACAGGTCATCCAGCCTAAACAGCTTGTTGTTGCTGATGTTTAGACAAACAAGCTGTGGAAGGAAACGAGAAGGGATCAGTGGAGAGGAAAGCATCCATATTGTATCATTATTCAGCTACAAGGAAGGACCATACCTCTGGAATGTTCTCCTCAATTATCTTAATAACAGCGTGCATGGAGTTCTTTCTGTTCAACGTCACATCAATGTTCTGGGAAACCAGGTCTGTGAAAATCAGGGAAGCGTAGGAGTGTTAGACGGCACTACTAGAATACATGTCATATAATGCAAATGTACAGTGAAAAATGTTTGATGTGACTAACTGCTCTTGCCGTCTACTTACCTGGGTCTATCCGGATGTTGTTCAAGTCCAGGGCTTGTTGAGAGCCATCAAAGCGTTTAGCCATGCATTGCTAATGAGGGAAAGAGGGTTTTAATAGACATTCAGCCATACATCTCTCTATACAGTGAGGGAAAAAAGTATTTGATCCCCTGCTGATTTTGTACGTTTGCCCACTGACAAAGACATGATCAGTCTATAATTTTAATGGTAGGTTTATTTAAACAGTGAGAGAAAGATCTTGCAGATCTTCTCCAAGTCATTAAGGTTTCGAGGCTGACGTTTGGCAACTCGAACCTTCAGCTCCCTCCACAGATTTTCTATGGGATTAAGGTCTGGAGACTGGCTAGGCCACTCCAGGACCTTAATGTGCTTCTTCTTGAGCCACTCCTTTGTTACCTTGGCCGTGTGTTTTGGGTCATTGTCATGCTGGAATACCCATCCACGACCCATTTTCAATGCCCTGCCTGAGGGAAGGAGGTTCTCACCCAATATTTGACGGTACATGGCCCCGTCCATCGTCCCTTTGATGCGATGAAGTTGTCCTGTCCCCTTAGCAGAAAAACACCCCCAAAGCATAATGTTTCCACCTCCATGTTTGACGGTGGGGATGGTGTTCTTGGGGTCATAGGCAGCATTCCTCCTCCTCCAAACACGGCGAGTTGAGTTGATGCCAAAGAGCTCCATTTTGGTCTCATCTGACCACAACACTTTCACCCAGTTCTCCTCTGAATCATTCAGATGTTCATTGGCAAACTTCAGACGGGCCTGTATATGTGCTTTCTTGAGCAGGGGGACCTTGCGGGCGCTGCAGGATTTCAGTCCTTCACGGCGTAGTGTGTTACCAATTGTTTTCTTGGTGACTATGGTCCCAGCTGCCTTGAGATCATTGACAAGATTCTCCTGTGTAGTTCTGGGCTGATTCCTCACCATTCTCATGATCATTGCAACTTCACAAGGTGAGATCTTGCATGGAGCCCCAGGCCGAGGGAGATTGACAGGTCTTTTGTGTTTCTTCCATTTGCGAATAATCGCACCAACTGTTGTCACCTTCTCACCAAGCTGCTTGGCGATGGTCTTGTAGCCCATTCCAGCCTTGTGTAGGTCTACAATCTTGTCCCTGACATCCTTGGAGAGCTCTTTGATCTTGGCCATGGTGGAGAGTTTGGAATCTGATTGATGTATTGCTTCTGTGGACAAGTGTCTTTTATACAGGTAACAAACTGAGATTAGGAGCACTCCCATTAAGAGTGTGCTCCTAATCTCAGCTCGTTACCTGTATAAAAGACACCTGGGAGCCAGAAATCTTTCTGATTGAGAGGGGGTGAAATACTTATTTCCCTCATTAAAATGCAAATCAATTTATAACATTTTTGACATGCGTTTTTCTGGATTTTTTTTGTTGTTATTCTGTCTCTGACTGTTCAAATAAACCTACCATTAAAATTATAGACTGATAATTTCTTTGTCAGTGGGCAAACGTTCAAATAAATTTTTTTCCCTGACTGTACATAATAATATACTGTTATTAAAACCATCACTCCATCTCCTATTTGTTAACAGCTGGTCTCCTTGTCTTACCTTTAGGTGCTCCAGATCAGCTGGCTTTAGTTCAGACTGAAGAAAGGAGGGTGGAGGACAGGGATTCATCAGTACAGTCACCTGGAAAAGATGGAGGAGTGAATGGCATGTTTTCTAATGAGTATCCCCAAGGGGAAATGGTTATGTCCTTGAATTCCAATTGGAAGCCCTAATCATTAACCACCGCTTGACCCCTTCTCAAGATCCTATTGATGATCCTTACGGATTTGCCATCCTCAAACCATTAACCCTGGCCCCAGCCTGGTTGCTTAAAGGCTCAATGCAGCTGTTTTTATATCAATATAAAATAATTTCTGGGTAACAATTAAGTCCCGTACTGTAATAATCTCCATTAAAATGGGCAAAAATAGCCTTTGAGCAAAAAACTATTTCTCAAGCAATAATTTTGCTAGGACTGTCTGGGAGTGGTCTGAGTGGGGAAAACTGAAAACTAGACGTTATTGGCAGAGGTTTGGAACTCTTTGTTATTGGTCTTAGAGCCAATTTACCGCATGGTGATGTCACCATGGAAAGCCGAAAACTCCCACCCATGCAAACCTGCTGATTAGAAATAATATAATATGCCATTTAGCAGACGCTTTTATCCAAAGCGACTTACAGTCATGCGTGCATCATTTTTTTTTTGGTGTAAAGAAAGTTATTTGTGGATTGTATTTTCAACTAGCAACTATCTGAAAATAACACTGATGTTGTTGTTTTTATCACACTTTTACAGTGTTAGTTTCATCAGCTGTTGGTGTACAATATGATATAAAACTAGGGCTGTCCCCGACTAAAATAGGAAGTCGTCTGTTCTTTCGACCAATCGATTGGTTAAAAAAATGTTACTTTTTTCCATATATACACACACCCTGTGTTTTAATAAAATCAACTATATGCATTGAGCTTACGGTTTGATGAAATAAGACAAATACCTCAAGAGGGCGCCAGAGATCTAGATAACCAGAAGAAGAAAAACGTAACCTGACCCAATTATTCTCCTCCCGCTCCTGCTGGCTTTAGCAGATTCTGCATTTATGCTCCTGAAGTTGCCGGTATAGGCTACACGAGGAGTCGGCAACCATTCTCATGTGGAATGCCAATTCATCTTACCATTTCTACCGATATGCGTGCCAGTTATGGTGTTCAGACAATGACTAAATCGACAAAACTCGTAAATGAAATGAAATAAACCAAAACTTGTTTCTCACAAGTGTAGAATAGGTTGTGCACTCTGCAAACAATGTGTCCACTACAACAATGATAACGGGAAGACTGGAATAATAATATTGAATGCATTCACAGAAATTACCGTAACCAAAGTAACAAACATTGTAGATTAGAAATTATAGGAATTAACGGTAAATGTACTACTGGTGATATATGTAATGGGGAATTGAATACACCAACAATCAAACAAACAATTCACACAATTAAGTTATAAAACAATGAACGTGCACAAATTGGCAGGAGAGAGCACATTCTGGAGAGAAGTGCATTGTGCATCTGGGCGCAGGGTCAATCCGACATCTGCATTGGCCATGCAGCATTTACAGCGATACGGCCTCAGCAGAAGTCAGGGCCTTCATACAGTGCAGAGCTGTTGTCAAGGAAGTGAGTTTGTGTTTTCTACAGGATGTACCGCCCCCACCTACCATCAACCAATCATGTCCATGCAGAGTTATACAGAGCACTCTGCATTGTTACAACATTTGGGAGGCGCATGGCGATGCGGTACAGAGCTTGATTTGGCCTCTGCATGCCTCTGGGGGCTCCGCAATTGCTTCACACCCTCCGTATGGAGCCTCCGACCACATCTTCAGATCAAGCATAAATTGTCTTTTAGTCTAGGCCTCCGCAATGGATTAGTTCACTGAGATGGGTGCAAATATATGTTACTGCTCGACTAAAACAATCTCGGTCGACTAACAGCCTAATGACCAAACAATCGACCAGTCTACTAATTGGGGGTCAGCCCTATATTAAACACAGGAAATAGGAATAGAATTGACTGCACTGGGCCTTTAATTTAAAAATTCTGCTGACATAATTCATGTTTTCATGTTTGGTTCCCAGTCTGCCAAAATGTCCCACTTAACACTAATTGATAAAACTGGCAGAGGTCAGTTTTGTGGAAGGAAAAAAATTGTACCTTGTAGCCTTCTTTGTCTGTGATCTTCCGTGATACCTTTAACAAGGCATTCGCAGTGGAGTAATCGTCAATATAGAACTGTGCTCGGTTGCCCTCTACTTGGTACTTTGGAAAACAGAGGTGTAGAAAGAGAATGTCGTTTAGGTTATATTAAAAACAATCAAATTAAACTATTTCAGGGGACAAGGGAATTAATCTATTTCTGGACTAGCTTGACTAACCAAAAGAGCCATTAGGCAGTGGTCACTTACATGTAATGGGGTGAAGGGCATGGGGCAGATATTCCGCAGAGCTGTTATCAGCCAGTCTTTGTCATATTTCTTTCCATAGGGGACCTGTAAGAGTCACAATTTAGCATTGGTTAATTACAATCCAATCGATGACAGCTTAGTAGATCAGTAAAGCCACCTAATTCATTCACAATGTTGACTCACAAACATCTTGAACCACGTCTTGCGGCCATCTCCACCTCCATCCCCTCCTCTGTTATTACCACGACCCCTGTGACCTCCTCCACCACCACCTCTGCAGCCACGGTCAAAGCGGTCGTCACCACGGCGATTCGGCCTTCCATAAGGGTTACTGGCAAGGTAAAAACCATGAGAGGGTTAAAGGATAACTTCCAAGATAAAATCTATAAACATGTTAAATTAAATATTCTCCATAATTTGCATGGCAAACCCACAATCTGTGTTGGGAGGACCCATCTTGGGAATTGCTGTCCGTCATTGCCACGTCTCCATCCTCATCGTCGAATCTCGCTCTGGGTCCCGGGCCGCCACTGCCTTTTTGGCCACCACGATGTCTTGGTCTTGTCCCTGGTCCTCCTGGCCCCTGGTCACTATACATATGGGCCCTGAAAGGGCCCCTGCCTTTGCGGTTGCGAAACGTTTGTCCTCCAACTCTGTCATCGTGATCTGATGGACAAAGTCACCACAAGGAGTTTTTGTTTTTACAGAATAAATACTTCAACAAAGTTACAGCAATTAGCTTGGTAATGGCCCATATTTGTTGTCATCTTCGTTTGTTAGCGCTTCTGCCATACATGCATGATATCTAATGCACTCTGTTAATACGCAAACACGTTCAGACTTGCAGCCACGTTACGATGTAGTTAGCTAGCTATGAAATTACTCAACGTTGCTGTTGGCTAGCTAACTAGTTACCTAACATTACTTCTGTCACACAAGAGGTGGTAATGTTAGCTAGCCAGATAGCTATGCTGTCACCGCGTGTGTATCAGCACGCGCGCCATGGGTCCAGAGTAAAAATCATGTGCTACCTAATTTATAAACCACAACTAGCTGGCTAGTTAGCTACAGTATCTAGTTACTTTCTGCGGCTAACCCCATAGCTCGCTAACTTCTTTATGTAGCTAGTTAACTAACTACTTACTTATCAATTCATAGATATTGTCAACTACTAGTTATCTAATACAGAACACGTTTCATATTATGAAAAAACTTTAGCTGGCAAGGAAGAACATTGTTGTTTACATGTTTGTTAGCTAACGTTAGTTAGCTAAGCCACAACAGCTAGCTAACGCGTTAGCTAACTAACCTAAACGTACCGTTGTAGTAACGTGAATCGTCAGCTGTTGACATAATCAGGAACCGAACACACACTTAACACGAAGGTGTAACTCCAATAATACTGGGTATTGTTACTTATATATGTAGCTAAAGCAAATTCGACGTTATCATCCGTAGCTAGCAAGGACATTCGCTTTGTTCGTAGCATGCGATGTATGGGCCCCGCAGTCTGAGCATGTGCATTGGATTCGAACTCCCCTTGCTCACAACACTCTCTGATAATGACGTCATGAACACTTATTTCTCAAACATTTTGAAAAGTTCTCACACATGTTCATGATATGTCTTCAATATATGTATTATGTGTGTGTGTGTGTGTCGTCCTCTGATGTTGGATCTCACACTGATCTCAATGTGTGCATTTCTTATTTTTTGTTCCGTAGCAGGCCTACGTGGGCCCGTATTCATAAAGCATTTCAGAGTATGTGTTTGGCTGGCCTAGGATCCGTTTGGCCTTTAGATTATAATGAATGGAAAGGGGGTAGCTGATCATAGATCAGCACCCCTACTCTGAGACGTTTTGTTAATACGGGTCATGGTCCCAGATCTGTTAGTGCTCTTGCCAACTCCATTGCTCAGTGTCAAATCATTTTTTTTTGTAGTCAACAGGTGCACATTATGACCAATCGATGGGTTATAGCAGGGTTCTTCAATTCCGGTCCTGGAGGGCCGAAACACTTCTGTTTTTTATTTCTACCTGGTAGTTAATTGCACTCACCTGGTGTCCCAGGTCTGAATTAGCCCCTGATTAGAAGGAGAGGATGAAAAACAGAGGTGTTTCGGCCCTCCAGGACCGGAATTGAAGAACCCTGGGTTATAGGATACTGTAAGCCAGAGGCTGCTTCTTCAGTGGTGGAAAAAGTACCCAATTGTCATACTTGAGTAAAAGTAAAGATACCTTAATAGGAAATGACTCAAGTAAAAGTCTAAAAGTATTTGGTTTTACATATACTTAAGTATCAAAAGTAAAAGTACAAACCATTTCAAATTCCTTATATTAAGCAAACCAGAATGCACAATTGTTCGTGTTTTTTAAATTTACAATTAGCCAGGGGCACACTCCAACACTCAGAAACAAAGAATTTGTGTTTAGTGAGTCACCAGATCAGAGGCAGTAGAGATGACCAGGGATGTTCTCTTGATAAGTGCGTGAATTGGTCAATTTCTGTCCTGCTAAGCATTCAAAATGTAACGAGTACTTTTGGGTGTCAGGGAATATATACGGAGTAAGAAGTACAACATTTTCTTTAGGAATGTAGTGATGTAAAAGTTGTCAAAATCTAAATAGTAAAGTACAGATACCCCCAAAAACTACTTAAGTAGTACTTTAAAGTATTTTTACTTAAGTACTTTAAACCACTGGCTTCTTTCAACATTGGTGTGAACTGGGTACAAAGAAAACCCTGTCATATAAACACATTTCAAATCAAAAGCCAGGAAGTTACAGAGCAAGATAACTGTTTATCATGCTGGAATAACAATACAGACTACCTTCCTACTGCTAGGACAAAATTAACTAGAACTACTTCACCTTAAAATAACCTCAGATGTGTTATCTATCCTTAACATACAGATGTATACATCAGCTTAATTTTACCTGATTAATAAAGATTGAATGTATTCACATTTTGTGCACAGCATTTATTAAGTTGGGCAATAAAGCTTAAATAACATATAACTTTAATTGCTTGACAGTCATTGCATGTACACAACAGTTGCAGTAAAGAAAAAATGATAATGCTAATGCACTGTAATGGGACAAACAAAATTATGACTGATTTGAGCTCAGAGTCAATAAAACTGAAAGTAGTAAACAACCAGAGCATTCATCAGTTGTGTCAAATATATTTTTCGGTACAGAATTTGTATAATTTGACTTAATCATTTCCTGACCAGTTATATACTGATCAAATTCACATTATATTGAAGACTTTTCAAATAACAACCTTTTATTCATACTCAAGTCAAAACATATTCCATTCATTACATTATTGCCCTCATTCACATTTGAATGAACCTCACCAATGAAATTTGACACACACACACACACGTATATCAGACCATATCTGTGCCACTAGAGATCCTGGTTCGAATCCAGGCTCTGCTGTAGCTGGCCGCAACCGGGAGACCAATGGGGCGGCGCACAATTGGCCCAGCGTCGTCCAGGGTAGGGGAGGGAATGGCCGGCAGGGAGGTAACTCAGTTAGTAGAGCATGGCGTTTGCAACGCCAGGGTTGTGAGTTCGATTCCCACGGTGGGCCAGTATGAAAAATAAAATAAAAAAGAATAATGTATGCACTAACTGTAAGTCGCTCTGGATAAGAGCGTCTGCTAAATGACGTAAATGTAAATATCTGTCATGATTTCCTCCGAGGCTGCCTCCTCTCCTTGTTCAGGCAGGCTTCGGCGTTCGTCGTTACCGGCCTTCTAGCCACTGCCTCATCTCATCATTCCATTAGTTTTATCTTGTTTATTACACACACCTGGTTCATATCCCCTCATCAGTGCCTGTATAGGTGTTCCCTCTGCCCCCTTGTCTTTGTGTGTGATTGTTTATTGTGAGGACAGTGAAGCTCGGTGGAGCTCCTTGTATTTTGTATCGCCAGGTTATTTTTCCATGTGTGCCTTGTTGGTTCCAGTGTGCCTGTTTTGCGCACTGGACTGTTTTGACACTTTACTGCGGAATTCTGTATTCCGGAATAAATCCTGTCATTCTGTGATTTACCCTCCTGCGCCTGACTCCTTCAAATCACCCATCACAATATATTATTTATTTTCTATAACACTTTTTTCCTATACGGGTACTTTTCAACAAAACTCTTCCAATTGTAACTTTACTTATCCTTCATTGCTCCTTGAAACATTAAGTTATCTAAAACAGAAGCAAATGTATTTAAAAGCAAAGTAAAATCAAGGACCACTTTGGAAACAAGTGTTTTAATAAATACCTTTAAGTGCTATCCTCCGGGAATACAATGTACGTCTTGCTGTATATGTTTCGACCCAAATAAATAAATTTCAGTTCAACACGTGGTGGTCCTTGTAACAGCTCTAAAAAGCATATTTGCTCAAGGAAAATCATACAATAATCTATTGCAAAGGTGTAAAAACAATGCATGTTCCTTGTGTTTAAAATGAATAACTATACTGTAAGAAATTGAGAAAACATTACATTTGTAACAGTGTAATCTTCAGGGTCAGCACTCTGCAGCTCAGGGCACTCTGATTTATATGGTAACCATATGCTTCAATCCCAGGCACCAAGACATTCGAAACTATGTTGGTGTACCTGCTCAATCACATTCCTTAAGACATATTCATAACATATAGACCTACCTGCATTCTTGCCAGCTATGCCACTCCCTACTGTTGTTGAACCATGGGAAATGCACAGGAGACTACTCTCCGTTCCAAAAAGAAGAGCCCAAGGTCCTGACCTCAGTGGCAGATTCATCAAGGAATTTGATGTTGAAATATCTACCCCCCTGACTGATATATTCAACACCTCCCTGCGTGAAGGAGTGGTTCCACATCAATGGAAGGAGGCAATAGTGGTCGTCCTGCCGAAGATTAATTACATTTTTGTCATTTAGCAGACGCTCTTATCCAGAGCAACTTACAGTTAGTGAATGCATACATGTTTTTTTTGTTGTTTTTTTCATACTGGCCCCCCGTGGGAAACGAACCCACATCCCTGCCGGCCAAACCCTCCCCTACCTTGGACGACGCTGGACCAATTGTGCGCCGCCCATGGGTCTCCCGGTCGCGGCCGGCTGCGACAGAGCCTGGACTCTAACCAGGATCTCTAGTGGCACAGCTAGCACTGCGATGCAGTGCCTTAGACCACTGCGCCACTCGGGAGTCATTAATCCACCGAGCATTGACCAGCTATAGCCCTTCTAGCTCACGCCCTTTCTGGCAAAGGTGTGAAGGTTTTGTTGCTGAATGGGTGACACAGGATATCCAAAAGAACATCTCCAACCAACAGTTTGGCTGCCTCAAGGGACGCTCAACCACCCAGTGCCTTGTAAGCATGGCAGACCAGCTGTACAGCACAGCAGACACCAGAGGCACCTCCAGCACATGGGTCCTGACAGACTACAGCAAGACGTTTGATCTTGTGGATCACACCATTGCAATGAAACACCTTTTGCAATTATCTGTCCGACCAGAGATCATGCCATGGATTTGTAACTTCCATTCCGGCCGTAGCCATACAGTACCCGGGCACACAGCTTGGACCAATTGTATTTGTTGCTCACGTCAATGGTGCATCAGAGGGTACACTATCCAACTCCTGGGCCTTTGTGGATGACCGGAACCTCATCGAATCAAGACCCTTATGTGACACTTCCACCATACAGCAGGACCTCAACCAACTAGCCGACTGGTCAGAACAAAACAAGATGAAGCTCAAACCGACAAAGTGCAAAGTTGTACACCTGTTTCAGCCACAGTCTTGACCCACCTCCGCCATTATCCATCTCTCCGGCCACACACGAGGTGGTGTCCGGAGCCAAAGCACTTGGTGTGACTTTCCAAGCCAACCTAAAATGGGACACACATCTCCGACATTACCACCAAAGGGAACCGAAGGCTCTTCATGATGAACCATCTTCACCACTTCAACCTCCACCCGAAGACCTTCTGACAGTCTACACCTGCTTTGTCCGTCCAGTGCTCGATTACGCCGGTCCAGTATGGCACCTAGGTCTCACAACACAACCAACTTGACAAGATCCAACAACATGCAACCAAAATCATAATGGGCCCCACCTACAGCTCCTACGACTCTGCATGCAGTGACCTGGGCTTGTAGTCCTTCGAGTCCTGCTGCACCCACCACTGCAGATCCTTTGCCCAGAAGCTTGCAAAATCCCATGATTACAACAAATGGCTGTCAGTGGCAGATCTACCCGATCCAGTCACAAACCGAACCTTCCCCCTACTCGGACTCAGATACTACAACAGCCCGATGTCATACTTTGTGAGAGCGCTTAATGCTATTTAACTGTAATATTGTATACTCCATCTCATATTTTATTTTAATTTATTTACTTATGCAGCAATTCAGATTTTAGCTTCAAACGTGTAAAATTCAAAATAAACCTTAAATATAACAAAGGCTGAACAACTCTGTCAATGCTACAATGATTCAGGCAAGGGAATTAAGTAAGTGTTTCAAGACTGGAGTGATTATTTTTGTTGCTCTGAAGGACATGCAAGAGTCAGGATTGAGCTAAATCCAAAAATGCTTTGCCTCACTAAAGCAGGCTTATAATATGGATACTAGTTGATTAAAAAAATAATCAAAGTACAGACAGTAGCTATCGTGCCACATTCCTGTCCCTAAAGAAGAATGAGTATTAGGAACACTTCTCTGCGGTTAAACACTACAATGAAAAGTGGGAAAAGCTGAGGTAAAGGTTTATAAGAACTTATGTGAGGTAAACTTGTTATCAAGACAGGTAATTAAAACACACGTTTGCTAAGTAAAATGATAGGCCTAGGGAATATTTGCACATGCGTCTGTGTGAAGGGAGTGTGTGTTTGTCAGTCTGTCAATGTTTCTGCTTCAGTCCATACATCTTTGTCAACCTCTCTCTCTCTTTGCCTGTCAGTGAAAGGGAAATGCACATTGAGGGACCTGTGAGTGTAAATGTGAGCGATGATCCATGGTTCAGAGACTCATCCAGGGTCCCCGTCTCTGATGCAGCATAGAGTCCCCTGGCTGAGGCACCTGGGGTCCCTCCAAGGGGACTGCCACTGCACCTCTATCCTGCAGATCAGCAGGCTTCTCCTCACTCACATCGGTCTCGTAAATGTGAAGAGCCTCCAGGAGCACTGGGGGCTCATCTGACAATGACTCTAGAGCCGATACAGGGAGGCAGAAGAAGAGACAGGTTAAGTTAGTCTGAATTAAATGAGACACCATCATCTACTTTTAAGGTCAGTAAATAACTGTCAGAAGATAATGAAGAAATTATCATAATAGTGAAAAGGTTACTACGAACAACTCAAGAAGTTCAGGAAAAAGCGGCAACAATCTTCGTCTGAAAGAGTCTGTTACTTGTTTGACTCTCTGGCAAACCCAAAGGCTCCTTCAGGGAACCAATCACATCCGGTGTTTCCAGCACAAGACAGAATGCAACAATATAATGTGAACAGCAACTATGCTGAACATTAAACAGTATGATAACATTCATAGCATGATGTTACACAAAACATAAACAGAATCCACAACTACTCTTCAAGTACAAACCCACAACACAAAGTGTGCCTAAACTAGTAATCGAACACATTGTGAGATGAGTCAGTATAAATTAAATCAACATCAGTTAATTTAAACATGCACTATGCAGAAATCGCTCCGCCATTTCCTGGTTTCTAAAATTCGAATAGTTCGCCTAATTTCAGTTTATGTGATAAAACAAGCATAGAGAATGTAGAGAATCATTGTACCATCTAAACCGCTGTGAAATATCCCCAAATATTGTATTTGCAGCTGTTTGAAGCTGGTGTACAAAACTGAAAGTAAAAGATGCAAAAACTAATCTTAAGAAAGGGAAGCATAGAAATAGCGTACAGAACATATCTACCGCTTCTTAGACTTGCTTTCAATGAGAATGACAGATCTATAACTCACATTTCTATGTGAATTTGGTCGGGTCGCCAAAAAAGTTACATATTGCAGCTTTAATATACTGTTGTGTATGTCTTGTGTATACACTTTTATTCACACATTCTAATACCCTCACCTTTCTGTATTACTGATGCTTCTTGTCTAGGTTCTTCCAACTGCTCATTCACAAGGTCATTGCCTTTCTGAGGCATTTTAACTAAAACACATTCAGATTAACCATGTTATGTTTGTTTTACACAATGCGTGTGATGCCTGTTGTAGAGTAGAACTCACTCTGTGAGAAGGAGATGTGCTTCAGAGCCTCTTCTCTTCTCCGCTGCAGGCGAGTCGTGTTTCCCATCATAACCTACGTACAAGAAAAACAAAACAAAAACAATGTTGATGTACTGGGGATCAGCTCACAGCACTTATATTTTAATGTAAGATACACGGATGTACTGTATAGATGGGGAACATCCTATTACAGTGGAGAAAATGAGACCGCATCTTACCCTGACTCTGACCTGCTCGGGAGGCCAAAGTCCCCCCCATATAAACTGTAGGTATCCAAAGAGCACAATGACACTGAGGAAGGCAAAGTTGCTGGCCACGCCGATCACTGCAGATGTCACCGGGAAATTGTACAAGAGGTATCTATTAAGACAAAGGGTTCAGAGATAGGAATGGAGCAGGATGGATGGGGAATAGGAGGAAAACAAAAGAATGGAAGATACAACAGTAGGTAAGAAAATCAATGACATTCCATATACAGTGGGGGAAAAAAGTATTTAGTCAGCCACCAATTGTGCAAGTTCTCCCACTTAAAAAGATGAGAGAGGCCTGTAATTTTCATCATAGGTACACGTCAACTATGACAGACAAATTGAGGAAAAAAAATCCAGACAATCACATTGTAGGATTTTTAATGAATTTATTTGCAAATGATGGTGGAAAATAAGTATTTGGTCACCTACAAACAAGCAAGATTTCTGGCTCTCACAGACCTGTAACTTCTTCTTTAAGAGGCTCCTCTGTCCTCCACTCGTTACCTGTATTAATGGCACCTGTTTGAACTTGTTATCAGTATAAAAGACACCTGTCCACAACCTCAAACAGTCACACTCCAAACTCCACTATGGCCAAGACCAAAGAGCTGTCAAAGGACACCAGAAACAAAATTGTAGACCTGCACCAGGCTGGGAAGACTGAATCTGCAATAGGTAAGCAGCTTGGTTTGAAGAAATCAACTGTGGGAGCAATTATTAGGAAATGGAAGACATACAAGACCACTGATAATCTCCCTCGATCTGGGGCTCCACGCAAGATCTCACCCCGTGGGGTCAAAATGATCACAAGAACGGTGAGCAAAAATCCCAGAACCACACGGGGGGACCTAGTGAATGACCTGCAGAGAGCTGGGACCAAAGTAACAAAGCCTACCATCAGTAACACACTACGCCGCCAGGGACTCAAATCCTGCAGTGCCAGACGTGTCCCCCTGCTTAAGCCAGTACATGTCCAGGCCCGTCTGAAGTTTGCTAGAGTGCATTTGGATGATCCAGAAGAGGATTGGGAGAATGTCAGATGAAACCAAAATATAACTTTTTGGTAAAAACTCAACTCGTTGTGTTTGGAGGACAAAGAATGCTGAGTTGCATCCAAAGAACACCATACCCACTGTGAAGCATGGCGGTGGAAACATCATGCTTTGGGGCTGTTTTTTGCAAAGGGACCAGGACGACTGATCCGTGTAAAGGAAAGAATGAATTGGGCCATGTATCGTGAGATTTTGAGTGAAAACCTCCTTCCATCAGCAAGGGCATTGAAGATGAAATGTGGCTGGGTCTTTCAGCATGACAATGATCCCAAACACACCGCCCGGGCAATGAAGGAGTGGCTTCGTAAGAAGCATTTCAAGGTCCTGGAGTGGCCTAGCCAGTCTCCAGATCTCAACCCCATAGAAAATCTTTGGAGGGAGTTGAAAGTCTGTGTTGCCCAGCGACAGCCCCAAAACATCACTGCTCGAGAGGAGATCTGCATGGAGGAATAGGCCAAAATACCAGCAACAGTGTGTGAAAACCTTGTGAAGACTTACAGAAAACGTTTGACCTGTGTCATTGCCAACAAAGGGTATATAACAAAGTATTGAGAAACTTTTGTCATTGACCAAATACTTATTTTCCACCATAATTTGCAAATAAATTCATAAAAAATCCTACAATGTGATTTTCTGGATTTTTTTTCCTCATTTTGTATGTCATAGTTGACGTGTACCTATGATGAAGATTACAGGCCTCTCTCATCTTTTTAAGTGGGAGAATTTGCACAATTGGTGGCTGACTAAATACTTTTTCCCCCCACTGCATTTGGCTTATTGGCCTCAAATAATCTGGATTTGAAACATAAATAATTTATACTATTGGAAGGAGGTCTATACCTGATGCCAGTGAAGAAAGCATGGATCCCGAGCTGAGCTGAATAGACCTGCAAACGCCGAGACTGAATCTCAATGACAGCGCCAACAGTGGGTTGATACTGTAGTGAGAGGGAAATGTACAAGTAGAGAGAAGCAGAGATCAAGAATAAGAGAGAGAAAAATATTTAGACCTTATTACCTAAAAAGACTAGTCTGACTTGGCCAGTCTTGCAGCACTGAACAAATGCAAGATTAAGTGGTCTGTCTTGCAAGATAATTAAAAGTCTAATAAAATGGGTAACTCATTCTTACTTTGAAAGAGGACATTTTATTCAGACAGGTTGTATTTGTTTGGACTCCTTAATAAATGAAGTCTGTCCAAGTACTGTTTAATTGAAAGCACATGAACATCGAATGCTGCTGAAAGGGAAGTATGCTTGGTCAGGGTTTCACACAAGTAAATCGAATTACATCAAATACAAATGAAATGGGTTCAGTGGAGCTGAAGGGTGGGACTAAAAATAACAAGATAATTAATGTAAAATATACTGTGTCTGTAAAATCTATATAGGTTCAGAACTTTCATGAAACAGCACAGTTGAAAAATATATGGCAAATAGAAATCAAAACTGGATGGTCTTCAGAGATAGATTGGACAAAAGATAACTATTGTAAAATACATTGTGTCCGTAAAATGTATATAGTGTGTATAAGCTGGAAGTAGAAGCCTAAGTGTTGTTGTCCATTAGTTTACTCCAATTGGAGGAGGGGTGGTAGGGTTAGGGGAAAATAATAAAATATAATATTTAAAAATATATATATTATATATTTACAAAAATATGTATATGAGGGATTAGAAATGATGCAGAGAATTACATTGATGGGAGCCACAATCAATCTGCAATATTAAAGCTGATCTACCCCCTAAAAATAAATAAAATAAATACTAAAATGATACAGATAACTTGCAAATGATATTCACAAGATCATGATGATCTGATTCAGTAAGAGAGCACAGTGCAGAAAGTGGGACAATAACTAAGTGCAAGCTCTGTGGGAGAGGAAAACGGATTTGATATGCACAGGCAACCACAAACAGCACTTACAGAATTGGTCTTGTAGTCTGAGAAGAGCTCAACCTCAACAAGCTGCTTCTGCTCTGTCATCCCAGTCAGCAGGAGAGGAGAGAACAGTAAAGTATTCAAGGTCTGCAGAAGACCAGAGCGGTAGTGCAGCATAGCCTGTTGGAGAAAAGAATGCAGTCACTGTCAGAGGTCCACACAATAATCAAATAAATCACATTTCCATGTTAAATTCTAACATTGTGAAGTATGAGAGGATATTTTATATTGGAGGAAACGGAAGGAATAGACACGTTATGTTCCACCAAGAACAAACTGGCACTGAAACGTTTGGAGAGGCTCAGAAGAGAGAGTAGCGGGGTTTGGTAGGAAGACAAACACAATCAACTTAGCACTCACAGAGCGCACCACAGTTGCAACGGTCTGGCCGTCGTTGGTGTAACAAGACATCTTAATCATGAACATGCCAAGCTGTTCGTTGACAGGGGACTCAGGTATTTCCAGCTCTAAAGAGATTCGATATGGCTGACCATAGTTCATAACCTAGGGAAGACAATGAGGGGTAGAATACTGTAAGAGACAATGAGCATACCTGACTACAGCGATCATTTCTTAGCATATTGTAATTATATTAGCATCTACCTCAGGATATAGGGGGTGAGGAAAAGGATGGTTATGTGTGAAGAGCATACCGGTTCTTTGCCATTCTTCAGCAGCGAGATGTTAGCCACAGGGAAAGAGCAGAGGTCTGAATTGGAGGCATCACAGTCGGAACTAAAACGAACAGCGGTCAGGAAAAAAGGTGTGATGTTATGGGCCTACGCTTTTTACCTTGACATAGTACTAATAGCACAAAAGAAAAATCAGGTGCAACAGCATAGAGCATTTTGTTACGTGTAGCTAAATGCTCATGCAAAGGCAATGATTTGTTTTGAAAATAATCTATTCAAAGTGTGAGTGAAAGGAGTAGAAAGATTGGATTTTACTTCAATTTGGAGACAAAAAGGCACAAAACAAACTTTCCATGATGTCTCCCAGTACCTGTAGTGGTAGTGCACTGGTGTAGAGAAGCTGACGGTGGGCATATAAGAGTAGTAGAAGCTGCCATAGAGGAAGATGGCCACCCAGACCAGCAGCGCTAGAACGCAGAAGACGATGGCAGCCTGCAGTAAAGTCCGACGGGCTCTGAGGAGTGTTACCCCTAACACAACCTGCAGCCACAGGAAAACTGGTCCCGTTACACCACCCATAGTGACCAACCCAGCACTGACTCTTCCAGATTACCGTGTCTGTTCCTGACGTTCCACACCACTCGCTGAGATCTCACAGCCTTTTATTCCCGTGGCTCCTGCCAAAAGCCTTTCGCTCTCTCTTTCTGTCTCTCTCTGCTTACTTGGAAAATTAGTTTTTCTTTTGAGGGTTATGGCTCCCTGTTAATTGGAAGACGCCCACTCAACAATACCAACTTTCGCCTGCTCATTTAAGGGAACCCCTGTACAGAATAATATCTATATATTTGTCACATCCCTTAATATTACATTAATTTCTTAGCTAATTTACTTTTTCTTTGTCTACTGCAAATGTAAAATCTGATAATGAGCTGTTGACGGGTCTTTAATATTTCTGTAGCAAGCTGTAAAATAGAAGAGAATAGCATTGAGACTTTAATGCAGATGGATACGGAATACAAAAGCACCATTCATATCTAAATCACTCAGAAGATATACATAATTCTGCTTTAGGAATTTCTAAGAATATGATTTCTAGTACCTCAAACAATGAGTTTTAAGAGTTTTTTCTATGCTGCCAATAGACATGTGAGAGAGCAATTAGATATACACACACAAGACAGATATGAAACTGTAAAAGCTTCAAGGACTAGGGACTCATTCTATGAATCCATCAAAAGGACAAAAACATTAAGTATAGCTCATAGCTAGCTACACTACATGACCAAAAGTATGTGGACACCTGCTCGTCGAACATCTCATTCCAAAATCATGGGCATTAATATGGAGTTGGTCTCCCCTTTGCTGCTATAACAGCCTCCATTCTTCTGGGAAGGCTTTCCACTAGATGTTGTAACATTGCTGCAGGGACTTGCTTCCATTCAGCCACAAGAGCATTAATGAGGTCGGGCACTGATGTTGGGCGATTAGGCCGGGCTCGCAGTCGGCGTTCCAATTCATCCCAAAGCTGGTCGATGGGGTTGAGGTCAGGGCTCTGTGCAGGCCAGTCAAGTTCTTCCACACCGATCTCGACAAACCATTTCTGTATGGACCTCGCTTTGTGCACGGGGGCATTGTCATGCTGAAACAGAAAAGGGTCTTCCCCAAACTGTTGCCACAATGTTGGAAGCACAGAATCGTTGTGAATGTCATTGTATGCTGTAGCGTTAAGACTTCCCTTCACTGGAACTAAGGGGCCTAGCCCAAACCATGAAAAACAGCCCCAGACCATTATTCCTCCTCCACCAAACTTCACAGTTGGCACTATACATTGGGACAGGTAGCGTTCTCCTGGGATCTGCCAAACCCAGATTCGTCCGTCGGACTGGCAGATGGTGAAGCGTGATTCATCACTCCAGAGAATGCGTTTCCACTGTATCCAGAGTCCAATGGCGGCAAGCTTTACACCACTCCAGCCAACGCTTGGCATTGTGCATGGCGATCTTAGGCTTGTGTGTGGCTGCTCGGCCATGGAAACCCATTTCATGAAGCTCCCGACGAACAGTTATTGTGCTGACGCTGCTTCCAGAGGCAGTTTGGAACTGGGTAGTGAGTGTTGCAACCGAGGAAAGACGATTTTTACGTGGTACGCGCTTCAGCACTCGGCAGTCACATTCTGTGAGCTTGTGTGGCCTACCACTTTGCGGCTGAGCCGCATACCACCCTGCATCCCACTGCTGGCTTGCCTCTGAAGCTAAGCAGGGTTGGTCCTGGTCGGTCCCTGGATGGGAGACCAGATGCTACTGGAAGTAGTGTTGGAGGGAGTAAGATGCACTCTTTCCTCTGGTCTAAAATAAATATCCCAGGGCAGTGATTGGGGACATTGCCCTGTGTAGGGTGCTGTCTTTTGGATGGGATGTTAAACGAGTGTCCTGACTCTCTGTGGTCACTAAAGATCCCGTGACACTTATCATAAGAGTAGGGGTGTTAACCCCGCTGTCCTGGTTAAATTTCCAATATGGCCCTCATACCACCATTTTTCTTTACTGCCTATCGACATGTGAGAGAGCAATTAGACATACAAACACGACAAGACAGATATGAAACTGAAAAAGCATCAAAGACTAGGGACTAATTCTATGAATCTATCAAAATGACAAAAACATGAATGCCTCTACTGATCCTACAGCTATTGTATGCAGTAATCATGTGCCTATGAACCATAGTTATACTGTTAGCACTGAGGCAGTGTGCCCTAGTAGGAAGTCCACTGTGTGCAGCTCACCTTGCACTAACATAAATAACATGAGCATGTCTACTTCTGCTAAGCTACCCAGTAAAGCAATGAAAACAATCAAGCATCCCAGAAAAGTGCTAAAAATAGCCCATGTTAACATATGTAGCTCATGAAATCAATAATTTGCTAGTAACAGATGACATTCATATTCTGACAATCTCTGAAACTCATTTGATGATATAGTGGTAACAATACATGGTTATAACATCTACAGAAAATACAGAAATGCCAAAGGTGGAGGTGTTGCCGTTTATATTCAGAACCACATTCCTGTAAAGCTTAGAGAGGATCTCATGATAAATACTGTTGAAGTAATATGGCTACAGGTTCATCTGCCTCACCTAAAGCCCATTCTGGTGGGAAGCTGCTAAAGACCACCAAGTGCTAACAGTCAGTATCTGGATAACATGTGTGAAATGCTAGATAATGTATGTGATATCAACAGAGAGGTATATTTTCTGGGTGAATTAGCTTCAGACTGTAACTAGTGCCTGCAACCTGGTTCAGGTTATCAGTCAACCTACCGGGGTAGTTACAAACAGCACAGGAAAGAAATCATCAACATGTATTGATCACATCATTACTAATGCTGCAGAAATGTGGTTTAAAGCAGTATCCAAATCCATCTGATGTAGTGATCACAATATAGTAGCCATATCTAGGAAAACCAAAGTTCCAAAGGCTGGGCCTAATATAGTGTATAAGAGGTCATACAATAAGTTTTGTAGTGATTCCTATGTTGTTGATGTAAATAGTATTTGTTGGTCTGTGTTGTGTAATGAGGAGCAACCAGATGCTGCACTTGACACATTTATGAAATTGCTTATTCCAGTTACTAATAAGCATGCATCAATTAAGAAAATGACTATAAAAACTGTTGAATCCTTGTGGATTGATGAGGAATTGAAACATGTTATGGTTGAGAGGGATGAGGCAAAAGGAATGGCAAATAAATCTGGCTGCACAAACTATTGGCAAACGTACTGCAAATTGAGAAATCATGTGACTAAACTGAATAAAAAGAAGAAGAAACTACACTATGAAACAAAGATAAATGACATAAATAATGATAGTAAAAAGTTTTGGAGCACCTCAAATTAAATTTTGGGCAGAAAGGCAAAATCAGCTCCCTCATGAATTGAATCAGATGGGTCATTCTTCACAAAACCCACTGATATTGCCAATTACTTGAATAATTTTTTTATTGGCAAAATTAGCAAACTTAGGCATGACATGCCAGCAACAAACACTGACACCACATATCCAAGTATAACTGATCAAATTATGAAAAATAAGAATTGCAATTTTGAATTCCGTAAAGTGAGTGTGGAAGAAGTGAAAAAATGATTGTTGTGATGACAAGCCACCGGGGTCTGACAACTTGGATAGGATAATAGCGGACATTATTGCCACTCCTATTTGCAGTATCTTCAATCTAAGCCTACTAGAAAGTGTGTTACCTCAGGCCTGGAGGGAAGCAAAAGTAATTCCGCTACCCAAGAATAGTAAAGCCCCCTTTACTGGCTCAAATAGCCGACCAATCAGCCCTTAGTAAACCAATCAACCCTTAGTAAACTTTTGGAAAAAATTGTGTTTGACCAGATACAATGCTATTTTACTGTAAACAAATTGACAACAGACTTTCAGCACGCTTATAGGGAAGGACATTCAACAAGCATAGCACTTACACAAATGACTGATGATTGGCTGAGAGAAATTGATGATAAAAAGATTGTGGGGGCTGTTTTGTTAGACTTCAGTGCGGCTTTTGACATTATCGATCATAGTCTGCTGATGGAAAAACGTATGTGTTATGGCTTTACACCCCCTGCTATATTGTGGACAAAGAGTTACCTGTCTAACAGAACACAGAGGGTGTTCTTTCATGGAATTTAATCAGTATGAAAAATGTATGCCCTCACTAACTGTAAGTCGCTCTGGATAAGAGCGTCTGCTAAATGACTAAAATGTAAATGTAATGGAAGCCTCTCCAACATAATTCAGGTAGAATCAGGAATTCCACAGGGCAGCTGTCTAGGCCCTTTACCTTTTTCAATCTTTACCAATGACATGCCACTGGCCTTGAGTAAAGCCAGTGTGGCTATGTAAGCAGATGACTCAACACTATACACGTCAACTACTACAGCGAGTGAAATCACTGCAACATTAAGAGCATTGTATTTGGGACAAATCCTTCACTAAACCCTAAACCTCAACTGAATCTTGTAATAAATAATGTGGCAATTGAGTAAGTTGAGGTGACTAAACTGCTTAGAGTAACCCTGGATTGTAAAATGTACATGGAGAGCTAACATTGATAATATGCATCTAAGTCTCTCATGGCTCAAAGTGGATGAGAGATTGACTTCATCATTACTTGTTTTTGTAAGAAGTGTTGACATGCTAAATGCACCGAGGTGTCTGTTTAAACTACTAGCACACAACTCAGACACCCATGCATACCCCACAAGACATGCCACCAAAGGTCTTTTCACAATCCCAAAGTCAAGAACAGACTATGGGAGGCGCACAGTACTTCATAGAGCCATGGCGACATGGAACTCTATTCCACATCAGGTAACTAATGAAAGCAAAATAATCTGATTTAAAAAACAGATAAAAATACACCTTATGGAACAGTGAGGACTGTGAAGAGACACACACAGGCACAGACACACATACACATGATAAGACACGCACTCTACACACACGTACACATGGATGTTGTATTGTAAATATGTGATAGTGGAGTAGTGGCCTGAGGGAACACACTAAATGTATTGGGTAAAGTGTTCTGAAATGTAAAATAATTTAATATTTTAAACTATACAACTGTCTTAATGTTGCTGGAACCCAAGAAGAGTAGCTGTTGCCTTGCCTTGGCAGCAGCTAATGGGGATCCTTAATAAATACAA